GAGTGTGGAGTGTGGAGTGAAACGTATAGAGTGTGACGTGCAACGCGTAAAGTGTGAAGTGTGTAGTGTAAAGTATAAAGTGTAGAGTGCAGAGTGTGGAGTGTAAAGTGTAGAGTGTAAAGTGTAGAGTGGAGTGTGGAGTGTGGAGTGTAAAGTGTAGAGTGTGGAGTGTGGAGTGAAACGTATAGAGTGTGACGTGCAACGCGTAAAGTGTCAAGTGTGTAGTGTAAAGTATAAAGTGTAGAGTGCAGAGTGTGGAGTATAAAGTGTAGAGTGTAAAGTGTAGAGTGGAGTGTGGAGTGTGGAGTGAAACATATAGAGTGTGACGTGCAACGCGTAAAGTGTCAAGTGTGTAGTGTAAAGTATAAAGTGTAGAGTGCAGAGTGTGGAGTATAAAGTGTAGAGTGCAGAGTGTGGAGTGTAAAGTGCAGAGTGTAAAGTGTAGAGTGGAGTGTGGAGTGTGGAGTGAAACGTATAGAGTGTGACGTGCAACGCGTAAAGTGTCAAGTGTGTAGTGTAAAGTATAAAGTGTAGAGTGCAGAGTGTGGAGTATAAAGTGTAGAGTGCAGAGTGTGGAGTGTGGAGTGAAAAGTGTAGAGTGTGGACGTGGCAACGCGTTTAAAGTGTCAAGTGCTGTAGTTGTAAAGTATAAAGTGTTAAGAGTGCAGAGGAGGTTGAGTATAAAGTTGTAAAGTGTAGAGTGTTAAGTGTAGAGTGTGGAGTGTAGAGTGTAAAGTGTGGAGTGTGGAGTAGAAAGTGTAGAGTGTGGTGTGTAGAGTGTGGAGTGTGGCGTGTAAAGTGTGAGTGTGTAGTGTAAAGTATAAAGTGTAGAGTGTGGAAGTATAAAGTTAGAGTGCAGAGTGTGGAGTGTAAAGTGTAGAGTGTAAAGTGTAGAGTGGAGTGTGGAGTGTGGAGTGAAACGTATAGAGTGTGACGTGCAACGCGTAAAGTGTCAAGTGTGTAGTGTAAAGTATAAAGTGTAGAGTGCAGAGTGTGGAGTATAAAGTGTAGAGTGTAAAGTGTAGAGTGGAGTGTGGAGTGTGGAGTGTGTAGAAGAGTGTGGAGTATAAAGTGTAGAGTGCAGAGTGTGGAGTGTAAAGTGTAGAGTGTAAAGTGTAGAGTGGAGTGTGGAGTGTGGAGTGAAACGTATAGAGTGTGACGTGCAACGCGTAAAGTGTCAAGTGTGTAGTGTAAAGTATAAAGTGTAGAGTGCAGAGTGTGGAGTAAGTGTAGAGTGCAGAGTGTGGAGTGTGGAGTGTAAAGTGTAGAGTGGAGTGTGGAGTGTGGAGTGAAACGTATAGAGTGTGACGTGCAACGCGTAAAGTGTCAAGTGTGTAGTGTAAAGTATAAAGTGTAGAGTGCAGAGTGTGGAGTGTAAAGTGTAGAGTGTAAAGTGTAAAGTGTAAAGTGTAGAGTGTGGAGTGTGGAGTGTAGAGTGTAAAGTGTAGAGTGTAAAGTGTAGAGTGGAGTGTGGAGTGTGGAGTGTGGAGTGTAAAAGTATAAAGTGTGGAGTGCAGAGTGTGGAGTGTAAAGTGTAGAGTGTAAAGTGTAAAGTGTAAAGTGTAGAGTGTGGAGTGTGGAGTGTAAAGTGTCGAGTGTGGAGTGTGGAGTGTAAAGGGTGGAGTGTACAGTGTGGAGTGTACAGTGTGGAGTGTAAAGTGTGGAGTGTGAAGTGTAACGTGCAAAGTGTGGAGTGCACAGTGTGGAGTGTAAAGTGTGGAGTGTAAAGTGTAGAGTGTACAGTGTGGAGTGTAAAGTGTGGAGTGTGAAGTGTAAAGTGTAAAGTGTGGAGTGTACAGTCTGGAGTGTAAAGTGTGGAGTGTAAAGTGTAGAGTGTGGAGTGTGAAGTGTGGAGTGTAAAGTGTAAAGTGTTGAGTGTGGAGTGTAAAGTGTAGAGTGTGGAGTGTAAAGTGTAGAGTGTACAGTGTGGAGTGTAAAGTGTGGAGTGTGAAGTGTAAAGTGTAAAGTGTGGAGTGTAGAGTGTAACGTGTGGAATGTAAAGTGTGGAGTGTGAAGTGTAAAGGGTGGAGTGTGGAGTGTAGAGTGCGGAGTGTGGTGTAGAGCACGTAATGCGACGCGTCTGAAGTGCTGCGCCTGCCACGCAAAATGACGATAGAGGTCTCCAAAGTGCCAAGCCTGCCACAAAAACTGCAGCTCATCTTGTGAAAACGACGCAAAAGTTTTGCGCCTGGCTGGAAAAACGACTTTGGACACGTCAAACAGGTTGGAATGTCACAAAGTGTCACGCCTGCCACGCAAAACGACATGACAACCTGCTTGGAAACCTTCGAAAAGGAGAGATTTTGCAGCTTCCCCCATAGACACGGCGAGGCCGCAGGAAAACCAGAGACTCGAGACGAGACATGTTGAAGCATCAAAACGAGCATTTCGCGCGAGACTTCCTCCAATTTTCATACTTTGTAGCTTCAAAATCGACGTTTTCCTACGAGTTTTCTTATGAACCTCCAAATTTGCACCCCAAAATCGATGTTTCGTGCGAAGCTTCCATCAATTTTCAGCACATCTCACAAATGCCACGCCTGCCACGGAATTTGCACCTTGTCACCACTTGGCGCGGCCCTGACAATGCGATTCGCAAAAATCACGCCACAAGACATGTCTAAAGTGTTGCGCCTGCCACGCAAAATGAAAATGGACACGTCCAAAGTGCTGCGCCTGCCACGAAAACCAGAACTCATCTTCTGAAAACAATGCAAAAGTATTGCGCCTGCTACACACAACGACTTTCGACACGTTACAAAACGTCTGAATGTCACGAAGTGCCACGCCCGCCAAGCGAAACGAAGCAACGCGACGTTTGAAACCTCCAAAAGTGACCTGAACTTACCATAGGCACGGCCATATAGCAATCGCGCGAACGGTTGCGAACGGTTGCGGACGGTTGCGGACGGTTGCGGACGGAAACGCAACGTCGAGCGAACACACCCTCAGCCCCCAAGACCCCCAGAGTGAAACGGGAACCCTTGCTACGCATTCGGGAACATGTTTTCACCAAGAAACTTCATCAATCACCATCAACCACCATCAATCACAATCAATCACCATCAATCACCATCGACCACCATCAATCACCATCGACCACCATCAATCACCATCAATCATCATCAACCACAATCAATCACCATCACCATCAAGTCAATCATCACCAACCATCATCAGTCACCACCAATCACCATCAACCACCATCAGTCACCATAAATCATCATCAATCACCGTCAATCACCATCACCATCAAGTCAATCATCACCAATCATCATCAACCACCATCAATCACCATCAGCCACCATCAATCACCATCAATCATCATCAACCACAATCAATCACCATCACCATCAAGTCAATCATCATCAGCCATAATCAATCACCATCAACCACCATTAGCCACCATCAATCACCATCAATCATCATCAATCACCATCAATCACCATCACCATCAAGTCAGTCATCATCAACCATCATCAACCACCATCAATCACCATCAATCACCATCAATCACCATCGATCACCATCAATCACCATCACCATCAAATCAATCATCATCAACCACCATCATTCACCATCAATCATCATCATATGTATATATATATATATGTTTGTGTGTATGTATATGTATATCACTATAGATATACATATCCCATATGTCGCACAACGCACAAGGTGGGCCCCCTACAGAAAATTAGACCATAGTTAGCCAGTTCTACCTAAACCATAGAAAAATATCTACCATAAACATCCATAAACCATATCCTAAACCATAGTTCGCAAGGTTATTTGCAGCAACAAACAGTCGCGATGTTGCAGCTCTTTTCGAGGCGATCTCTGCAACGAGAGCAGGACAGAGTTGGCCTTGCAGACTCTCGGTGCGAGGTGTAGCCGTGGAAAATCATCAGGCGAAACATAAGTGAACCATCTATAAATTGGTGAAGATGTGGGTGGAATCATCTCCAAATTTGGAAGAACATGATCGTGTTTTTCCATTTACAACATCATTAGCATCAATCAACGGATAAATCAAGACGATATCATGTGAAACACCACAGGATATAAACTGGGCGAAACCATAGAGACAAAACGCTTGATATCAGGTGACATGTGAAATATAGAACAAAATGGTGCAATTCAACTACCAAGTACAGGTTATTTTACTAAGGGGTCACTACTAGATTCTAGAGATGTGTGGGGGATAATCCAAAACATACGTTTCACCTCTTTAAGTGAAATGATCTTTTCAGCCACCGCACATGATACCATTGAAACTTCCCAAGACTGATTTGACGAATCATAGGACCCCCCAGAATCATAGGACCCCCAACAAATGGTGGTAAAAACCATGGTTCCCGGTGTGCTTTCCCTACCCAGGGAGACAGCTGAGGACAGCTGTTTGGATCTTACCCAGAGGCTGTCCTCGGTAACAGTGGTGCTGAGTTGAGGACTTGAGGGTGATAGTGATATTTCTTATAGATGCCCGAAAAAAAAAACTTGGAAATGCTTGGAAATCTGGAATCCTTATAAGAGTCCTACAGTTTTTAGAGGTCTTTCATGAAAGAATCCTATAAACCATTCTTCCCACTCTCAACGGACATCTTCACGACATCGCACTGTTTTTGACACTCTCAACGTGCTGCAGTGTGTGCAGATCCCCAAAAAACTGCAAACTGCAGCTCTCAAAAATAACATCTCGCAAAGACTAAAGAAGTTGGATTTCACATGAGCCACGTTCAAGACTGCCGGCAATTGATTTTAGTATTCAGTGGAATTTATTCTTTAAAAAATTGAATGGCGTCACACGCGCGCGCAAACTTTTCACAAGCTTCGCGCAAGCTCCTGTACGCGCAAGCTTCGCGCAAACCCGAAATCACGCAGATACTTGAAACATAAATAAATGAATATACAACGAAAAGGGTTACACAAGATAATGGGACGAGATGGGTGACGAGTTCCGTTGCTTCCTTGCTGCACTGTTTGCTTGGTATGTCGACCCTCTGGTTTGTAAAGGTATAGTCAGTTTAAGCAAACAACATTTTGAATGGTATAGGCCATGGATTTTGAATGGTAATAGGCCATGGAGTTAATTGTTGCGTGTAATCTTGACCCTTGAAGCACCTTTCAAACATCCCGAATTTCGCGTAAACCCATGCAACCGGTTAGTAACCACTGAGACGATCTGCCAAGTTAATTTGAATAGCCCATTAAAGCTTCATTTATGTCCCATTAAAATCCACTAAATCCCATTGAATCATGATTATATAATTATATATACATAAATCTCATCAATATCTTATTCAAATTTCATATATTTCATAACACTCCCATGACTTGTCGGAAATCTTCCAGGGCCAAGAATGCCTTGAGTGCGGCATCGATTGGTTTGTGGCTGCTGATACCTGTGTCCTGCATGCCCAACACTCAGGGGATGGTGAACGAAAAACATGACAAATGGGGGTTCCCTATACCTCGAAATGGTGGTTTAATGGTTATTGATGGTTATTAATGGTTATCATAATGGGTATTGTAATGGATATTGTAGCTTCTATTGTCAACCCTGGATTAATAAACCCCAAACGATTGTGAAAAATTGGGAGGGTACCATAAAAAAGTATCATATTATGACTATTGGAGGGGTACCCCCCTAATTAGTAAACCATGGTTTATTAATCCAGGGTTGACATTACCTCGAAATGGTGGTTTAATGGGATGGAAAACCATGACAAATGGTGGTTTAATGGGATGGAAAACCAACAAAATGATGATTTTAATGGAGGTTTCCATGGTGGTATTATATAATAGCCATAATCAATGGCTAATGTATGGTTAATCTATAGTTATTCTGTATGCTTTGAGGATTTCCATAATCATGGTGGTACCCCCAATAGCTGGATGGTTTATTTCATGGAAAATAAATCCTATTAAAATGGATGATAACTAGGGGTACCCCCATGACTTGTCGGAAACCTCCATTGGACATAATGGGTTATAGTAAACTACCCTCTGGTACTTCAACATGGCTATGGACAATACCATCTTTAAGTTCGGTAAAACAACTATTTCTATGGGCAATTTCCCAGAGCTATGTTGTCAAATAGTAAGGTAACTCATATCAAACATGTTTGCCATCAGTATCTGGATTTAACCATTATTATTTTTGATAATCAATGCTGATATTAGCCTCCAGTAATCAAACGTTGCAATTGAACATCCCTTATAATCAAACATGTAGGTTTTTATGGGAATCTCATCTGTAAGTGGAGGATTTTCACTTGCCATGTTTGATTACCGGAAGGCAACAGTATCAAACATGTTTACCTATCAAATTGAGGTAACCAATAATAAGGTAACCAATAAATTGAGGCTATCTTTGAGCCATATTACGTAATATTAGTACCATCGTTTATACACCAAACATGGTAACTAATATTACCCTCTGGTTATGACTAACATAGCCATGGAAGCCATGGCCCATAGAAATAGATGATTTTCCCAGCGACATCAACCTCCATTTATTTTGGGGATTTTCCATGGCTATGTAACAAATAACCAGAGGGTAACTCCCATGAAATGATAGTTAAATCATAGAAAATTCCCTATGATTCCCCAAAAATGGTAACTAATATTAAACATAAGCAAGAATTATAGGGACTTCTTTGGGATCTTTTTTGGGAATCGAATGAAAAAGAATCACACAGCCCCCGTGGCTGAGGTTGGTGGATCCGCATCTTCAGGAGCCTTTCTGAATCCAAAGATTCGGATGGTTGGAAAAACATCAAAAAACTATCGAAAATCACCATTTCAAATGGGTAAATCCACTATTTCTATGGTCATTTTCAATTGCAAAGTGTTAGTTTACCAGGCCGCGTAGATGGAAGATGTTTGACGGGTTTTATGAGGTTTGATCGGCTCATTGTGATCATTGTTTCTGGGATCTTGGCTAATACGTGGGGAGCAGCCAGATTGGATTGCTCTTCCAGCCACGGGTTGGCACGGGTAAAAATCAGATCGTTTGTCTGAACATGGGGCACCCCGAATTTCAAGGGATTGTCATGGATCATCATCATATTTCCCATCAGATTTGGATAGATTTAAGATGATTGAAGGATGCATGGGGCCCGGGCCCCTATACCGAATGATCCAACTTTCCCCTAATGTTAAATACTCCCCAAACTCAACCCTGGTTTAATATTGGATCTATTCATGACCTGGGCCCCCCCAAATGAGGCGCATTTAATTTCATATAAATATGTTCTATATTAATCCCCTTTCAGGACGGTCGGACCCGGTAGGTTTCTTGATGGGTAACGCCTCAAAGTATAGGGGGAAGAGATCATGATTCTTTCTCCATTCTATCCCACCTGGAATCTTCACTGGTTGGTGGTTTGGAACATGAATTTTATTTTCCCCCCTGAGTTGGGACGATGATCCAATCTGACGAATTCATATTTGTCAGAGGGGTTGAAACCACCAACCAGTTATACTATGGGATTGGACATCTCCTAATTTTGGGTGACCTGCTATCCCACTATATCTTCATGATATCATCATCTTTAGTTCTTAACTCCCCATGGAATATATGGAATCGGACATGCCGTATGTTTTGTGGCCTCATGTTCAGCTCACCAGAATGGCAGGTACCCCTCATCTTGAGCCTTTGGTGCCTTGACGTGCACCAAGATGGATCCCTTTGTTGTGGGCGAAGATGAGGTCAAATGGGACATGAATGTCATGAATGGAACTTTTTTTGCATATGTTTGGAATTGTTTGGACATATTCATCGTATACATCCCATGAAATTTGGATTATCTACGGGATTTCATTGTTAATTACAAGGTGATGCCTTTTTTGGGCACGACATCGCGAGGTTTGGACTGGTTCACTTGGCACCTTAACTCTAATTAGGGGGATGTAACTATACTATTCATGGGGTTTATGTATTCAACTTATAGCCAGTTGCTGCTTTTTGTTGGCATTGTTGGGCACAAGATGGAGATAAACACCTGAATGCTTAGTGCTTGCCTAATGATGGTGCGCACCATGTTTGGGTGTGGCTTCCCTCATTTTCAGCAATGCAGATGCAATTTTTGGTGGTGAACTGGTGAACCTGGCCTTGTAGATGTATCAACAACTTAAACATGCATTAATCAAAAAGATACCCTCTGGTAAACATACAAAAAACATCAAAAAACTATGGAAAATCACCATTTCAAATGGGTAATTCCACTATTTCTATGGCCATTTTCAATAGCAAACTGTTAGTTTACCAGGCCGGGTACGCTTGAGTTTGTCTAAAAATGGGGCACCCCAAAATCCCATGGTGAATCATCATTTTCCCCATGAGAATTGCCAAAAACGGGGATAAAACGCTCATGAAATCTGCCATCGCAAATTTCATCGCACGGAGCCCACCATGGATGATGTTTTTCCAATCATTTTCCCCTAGGGGAACCTCCGAGGCTTCTGACGGTCTTCTTTCTCATCCTCTGTTGCTCTGCGAAATGCACAAGCCAAGGGATTCACGGATCGATGGGCGAGAGTCCCTTAGCTGATCAGTCGTCGGAACTGGGTACATTTTGACCCACGAATCATCTTGGAGCACTGAGAATGAACTTGCGATTGATGTCTATCTGACTACACATATTTCTAGTGTCATATATATATATACGTATATGATATATATATATATACGTATATGATATATATATATATACGTATATGATATATAATTATATATATATGATATGATATATATATATATGTGAGATATATACACGTTTCTAGTATAATTTCTAGATTTGGGATTGCCAAGTTAAGTGCGTCCTTGGGTTCTGGATATTTCTGATCATCCAACCACCCAGGACGACGACCTCCAAGACTTTCAGAGATTTGGCCTGGGAGTTATCAGGAGATTTGGCTGTTTTAAATTGGGGGAATCGTAGGGAATTTTCTATGATGTAACTTGATGTAACCATCATTTAATGGGATTTACCAAACATGTTTACCTATCATATTGAGGTAACCAATAATAAGGTAACCAATAAATTGAGGCTATCTTTGAGCCATATTACGTAATATTAGTACCATCGTTTATACACCAAACATGGTAACTAATATTACCCTCTGGTTATGACTAACATAGCCATGGAAGCCATGGCCCATAGAAATAGATGATTTTCCCAGCGACATCAACCTCCATTTATTTTGGGGATTTTCCATGGCTATGTAACAAATAACCAGATGGTAATGACATTTTCATGGAATTTCATAGGCATCTCAAGGAATTCGCCTCGGGCGAATATGGCTAGAAATCTCCCATTTAAATACGTGGAGGGCGGGGACGCGAGGGTTGAGAGGTAGTATGAAATACCAGTTCCGTATATTTAAATGTACCCTCTGGTGAACTAACATAGTAATGGAAAATGGCTATAGAAATAGTGGATTTTCCCATCAAAAATGGTGATTTTCCATTGCTATGTTAGTTCACCAGAGGGTAGTTGCCGTACTCTTAATGATTGATTCATGGAGGATAAACTCTCTCACCAACAACATTGTCCCAGCAATCTCTCGTGATTTCCCACTCTTTTTTTTGGCTTATGACTTAATATTCCCGATAGAGTTTCCCATTCTTACATTCCCCATAAAATTATGCACATATATATATATATATCTATAAAGTCCTGGAATGAAAATAACCTCATGGAATTTCAAGCAACCCACAAAGCGACCTTCTCAGATGGTAGGGCGTCACTCAGATTCTCCACAGGCCACGTGGGTTTCCCCCAGTGCCATGTCCTTCATCATGTGGACCCAGCATTTTCCTCGAGATCTTCGGACTTGGGGATGGCGACATTGAAACCATACCCATAGAAATCGTGGATTTAGCCATGAAAATAGCATGCTGGTGATGATTTTCCATAGTTCTGTGACAGTTTACCAGAGAATACCACATGATTGTTGTGGGGGTTACCTTTGGGCCTTTGGGCTCCCAAAAATGCAGACGACGAGGCCCACGAGGCCATACTTTTTGCAGTGTCATTCCTTCGCCCTAACGAGATCCAACAATGTTGCTGGAGAATAGGATCATATGTGCCATGGTCAAAGCTTGGATGCCAACACAATAGGAGTAGTGTTTGATTGGACCAATTTTGGATTCCCATTCTGGGATGAGCATACCATATTACCACATATACCATGTACCCTGGCACATAGAATCTGTTGTTTCCCGTTCAATCGAGCCAACAAATCGAATTTCTTTCACCTGCAATCCATTCTATTCAGTCATTTTCAATAAATCCAGGAAACATTCTCCCTCTCAATCCATTTTTATGGGTTAGATTTCACCACAATTGTACTGTAGGGATTAAAAAAGGCAACTTATGGATGTTAAAATGCCATAGTTATATCATGTTATACCCATTACACGTCCATTATTGAACATCCCATAGTTATATTATGTTATATATACCCATTAAACCGTGCCCGTTATGCCCGTTAGACTCACCCCAACGGCACCAGGAGACAAAGATGCTTCTGTTCCTCTTGGGGCTCTTGAGCAGTGTGGCATGTGTCATTTCACTGGCTCGGGGTGGAGCGTTTATGCTCTCGGCGATGAGGTGCAGCTGTAGCTGATGGGATGGGGGGATTAAGGGGGATCCACCCAAGAAATTGGGGTTTCAGTAGTATCATATGTACAGTAATATATATATATATATACAGAGTATATATATATACACACCACCCCACCAAAAAGATAGAAACGGTAAATTTATTATCGTTTTGGAAGGATTTACTTTTCTATCTTTAAATTGGGGTTGCTGTGTGGGATAATAAGGGACAATTGTGAGAGAATTCCTGTTTGGGATGACGTAAAATTACCAGATACTATAGTAACCCCCAAAAAGATTCAGGAAACTTCAATTTACCCTTCAATTTTAGAATTAGATTTCTACTAAAATCTGTGTCCTCATGGCGGTTGCCATGTAGATATAAGCTCTCATCGAGTATACTGTTTCTTCGGTGACTTTGGGCAGGGTGCAGCCCCCAAATTCTCATGCCTTTCCTGTCCTTTCCTGGATCACCTGCATGGATAAATATTGATAACATGTTGATTCAATGGATATTCATGATATTTCATGATATTTCATGATATTCATGTTCACTTCACTTTTCTGAAATCCACCTTTTCCTTGGCGAAATTTCCACGGAGATTCCATGGTTCCATGGGATGGCCGAGGTCGCAGAGTGAAGATGGCTGTTCTGTCGCGCACCTGAAGAAGTTTTCCTCCCAGGGCCTTGGGGCCTTCCGCTGCGAGGTGGACAGACATGGATTGATGTGCTGCCAATGGTGGTATCACCATAAATCACTGTGATCCAAAGATATAAATTATTGATATATAAATCACCATATGTGATATTTAAGATATAAAAATCACCAATAATCAGATATATAAATTATGGACATGGAATATGATAAAATGGTGATTTTGGTGATTTATGGACATGGATTATGGCTGAATCTGGCTGATTCGATGTTTTCTAGATTTTTTTGCCACAAGTGGACGGGGGTTCATGGATTCGAAGATTCGAGCCGCTGGAAGTGAAGGATTTCAGTGAAAATTGGTGAAATCTTCTTGGAACGCCACAGGCTGCTAGGCTAGGTCTTTGGAAACAGCACAGGTTGTCTCAGAAAGTGCCTGTTTCTGCTTGAAACAATAGTATGGGAACTGTCTTTGAGATTATATACAGTAAATTTGTTGAACATGGGACATTCATTTACATTTATTTGATTTTATATAAATTTGGTATAATTTGGTGGTTTAAGATACACAGTTTGATATTATCTGATGCAAATGACTTAATTTTGATGTCTCAAACTTGGAAACCAGAAATTCATCCGAGTCACATGACACAGCGAGGATGGAAGTTTGGATGCCGAGCATGAAGGTACAGTTCTTTTGCGCATCTTGGCAGTTGTCTTTTGCCTCTTTCTTTTTTTTCAAACTTTGACGTTTTTTGTCTCCCTTACCCTCTGGTAAACTAATTTGCAATTGAAAATGGCCATAGAAATAGTGGATTTACCCATTAATAGCATGGTGGATCTTTCCATCGTTTTTTGTACGTCCGGACTCCGGAGACAAAAAAGGGCCAGAAACAACCGGAGACCTGGATCGCCATTTGGATTTTGGATTTGAGGACTCGACAGAATCCGACTGCTTTCGGCGGTGCCCAGTTACCCAAATTGGTAAATTAGCATAGACCCTGAAAATCACCAATTTTTAATAGTTTTTAATGGTTTTACTCGTCTTCCAACCCCGTTTTCTGCCGGGGTCGAACTGTTGTCATATACCAGACCCTCCGGTGTCATCAAACATGGCGTGGAAAATACACCAAGGCCATGGATGGAAGCGTGATGCGGTGGAGGTGGGGATGGTTGGCATCCCAAGTGGAGGATTCAAATGGTGCTTGCTAACATCCCCCCCAAAACAGGGATTTTTCAGATCTGGTGGGATATTTCATAGGAATTGAATGAAAAAAAATCATGGGATGTAGTAGAATAAGATAGAGATTTTACCATCATTTTGCGGGATTTTTCATGGAATCTCATGAAATTCCATGGGGTCATAATGGGATTCCCCTCCGGTGTCGTTCCAGAGCTTGCCGGAAAATCCACTGAAAAAATCGATGTTTCTCCCAGCGAACGAAACCTCCATTGGCAAAGGGGATTTTCCAGCAAGCCACATTTGGTTACCGCAAGGTACACATTGATTTATCATATAAATGTATATAATTATCCCAGTAGTATAATCATGGGTTTCCATCATATATATATATATGTATTATATATAATATATATATATTATATATATGTATATATATATATATATACATAATATATATATAATTATTACTAAGGTTCCCATATATAATTATTCATAATCCCAGTATGGTATAATCGGTGCTTAATCCGATTTAATCCAGCCAGGAACCATGGTTGTAGCGGATGTTGAGTAGCGAAATCACACGTTTGGAACCATTTATGTGTTTAACATTGGGGGGATAAGTTGGTAACGGGCCTGATGATCTTTTCACATGGCAGGCCAACTAGGGGATGACTCAGCGGGCCATGAGGAGATCCCAAATTGATGAAAATCCACCCTGGGTTGGTCCAATGACTTGGATGATTTGGGGGTCCCCCCACGACTTAGGAACCCCCCAAAATAAAGAACTGCTTGGCACCAAAGTTCAAACTATGGAACATTTTCCAGGGACTCTGTGAGTGCCGTTCCAGTGAACTAAGTGGATATGTCATACATGTACATATATATATATACACATTATATATATATCCATAGTTCTAGGGGCTCCAATATCCCAACTTATGTGTTTTTTTAAAGTTATATCATGTTATATCCATCAAGAACCCTAGCCCTGCACCCCCAAGTGGTCTGGGGTCAGGTCTATCGAATGGCGCCGGTGTACCTACATGAAGTCGCTGGGTGGATGTGGTCATGCCGTGGTTAATCCCGGATGTTGACGTGAAGGATGTTGAATTGAGGGGGTCTTTCCACGGATTAGGCGGATTAGCACACACTTCTGCGGGGTTACTGTCACCCAACTTTTTCTCGGCCCCTGGATCCAAAAACATCCAAAAACATCCGGTTGTCCCAGGATGCTTTGCCAGTGGCTCGGGCCGTGGCCAAGGAGCAGATGGACGGACTGGACGAAGGTTGAGCGAAAGCTCCTGCTTTTCTCAGCTTGGAGAAATCCATGATATTCCCGGAGAACTACCCCCTGGTAAACATACAAAAAGCTATTGAAAATGGCCCATTTAGTTCTTTGATTTAACCATTGGCATGGTGATTTTCCATAGCTGTGTAACAAATTACCAGAGGGTAAACCTCGACTTCATGAGGATTTCATGATTTTTCCAGGATTTCATGGGATTTCCCATGAAATCTATGTGTGGTATACGTGGATTCAGCGCGTTTTTGGAACGGCGCTGCAAACCCATCGAGCAAGGACCGACCTTTGTCAGGCGAGAAGCTTGGGGGGACTTGGGGGAGCGGGAGTTGGATGGGATCCCTTGTAGCTTCTACATACCCTCCATTAAATTAACATAGACCCTACCAGATAGGGGTTGGAAGATTAGTTGCCACTAAAAATGTGTATTTTCAGGGTCTATGTTAATTTACTGGAGGGTACCATGGTGATATATCCTTATTCATTGATATATCCATGGTATGTAGAAGCTACAATATCCATTACAATATCGATTATGATAACCATTACTAATCATTAATATCCAGAAATAATCATAGTTATAGTGGTTGGGCAAAAGTGCACATAGTGATATCAGAATATACATCAATAACCATGAATGTGGTAAAGCAAATGCCTTAAATGCCATAAAACCATTCTTTGGGGATTGTGTATACCACCCATAGTATTGTTGATTTGGCGGCTGGTTTATTGGGTGTATCACATTATACTCGTACATTCTCCAGCTGGAGGTTTCTCTCCAGTCATGGGGATCCCCCAGTCACAACTCGAATTTTGGATGATTTGGTGGTACCAGCGATTTTAGGACACCTCCATATAATGACATGTTTTCATATTTTTTCTCTGGATCTTCCAAAGCCGCTTTCAATATTAATCTAATCTCATCTCAATATGGAACACAGCCATTCCATGGTCCCAAAGATGTGATTTCCCATGAATTTTTCCACCATGCTTTCTGGGGGTGTTTAAGATTGTTTAAGGGCTTTCTGGCGGGAATTCATGATTTATTTTCCAGATGTTCCAGGTATTTTCCACAATTTGGCGGTCTTCCAAGGCTGTAAAATGAAAAAAAGATGTGCATCCCAGGTATTCTGACTGCTTCAAAAGTCATATGACAACTTTCCATCCATCGAAAGTTGACGTTCAAGAGATGTGGGCGTATTTTTCTTGACCGTTGTAATACCGTTGAGTCTATCTGAAAATTCAGAATAACAACATAATAACAACATTTTTTGGATGGTTTATCATCATTTCCATCATTTTCACTATTGAAATGGCTATCCATTGGGGGTGATTATACCAGTTTTAGACCCACATCCATGACTCTTTGGTTAGATCCCGATTTTAAGGGTTAAATCGGTTAAATCATATTAAAGCCTCATTTTGATGGTTTAGTGGGCCATCACATCATATCAATCATTTCAAAGTACCCTCAGTAATCTTTCACATAGCTGTGGACACTATGGACCATTTAGTTCTTCTGATTTTTACCTATGAACATAGAGTTTGTTTGTTTTCTTTCCATACTTCTGCCAAAAAATGGACAAGATACAATTAGTCTCCCAGAGTTTCCCTCCTCATTTTTCCATGTTTTTTTCACCAGGCTTTTCCAAATGGTTTTTTCCCGCTGCCCGAGGCGGTTCCTGTGGGCGAGGTCTCTGCGGCTTGTTCTTGCGACCCCAAGAGGAGGAGGCGCAGGGATTTTTCGGAGTGGAATTTGACTAAGCCAGTGGCGGAAAAAAGTGGCTGAATTCTATGGAATTCTATGGAATTCTATGGTTTATGGATGTAATTTTCACAATTAACTATGGATCCCTGGATGATATCCCATTGATCATCAATCCATAGTATATTATCATCAATATATCCCTCAAGATTATGGATTGATAGTTACCATCTGGTTATTTAACAGTTTGCCATGGTATAGATGGCCCATAGAAATAGATGGTTTACCTATTAAAAATGGTGATTTTCCATGGCTATGTTAAATAACCAGAGGGTAACTATGGTTTATGGTAGATATAGAATGTTAGACAACAAAATTTGTTAGTTGGTGAAGATAACTCCAATAACTATGGTTTATGGATGTTTATGGATGTTTATGGATGTTTATGGATGTTTATGGATGTTTATGGATGTTTATGGATGTTTATGGATGTTTATGGATGTTTATGGATGTTTATGGTAGATATAACTATAGTATTCATGGATAATGGCAAAATCGATTCCGGTTCAGATTTTTTCTGGAAAACCAATCCATTGATACAGTAATTACTGTCTATAGTAGTTACCATGATGAAAAAATGAATCTTACCAAAGATGAATGTTGATGAATGATGGTTGATGGTTGATGAATGTTATTAAGTTGATTGGCCCATCGCAGAGCTGCAGGGCAACATCACTCCACATTTTGGGTAACATGTTGAATCTTCAAAACATCTGAATTCTTGTGCAAATGCACAAGACCCGAAACAACAACAGTATAAACATATGACTACCCTTGGTAAACTAACAGAGTTATGGAACATCCTCATTTTTCATTGGGTACCCTCTTGTAAACAGACAGACAGTTTGCTATTGAAAATGGTCATAGAAATAGTTGATTTACCCATTAATAGCATGATGGATCTTTCCATCGTTTTTTGTATGTTTACCAGAGGGTATGACCCATCGAACTCAACGGAAGCCGTCCGTTTGCTTCCTCGAGGCCGTCCTCTTGGGCCAGTTGGCGAAGGACTGATTCAGTCGTCATCGTCGTCGACTTGGATGATTTGGAGCTGATGACGAAACGGTTTCTTTAGGAAAGCTCCATAGATGAACTGTGATATATCATGATATATCTTACGTATATCTTATGTATATCTTATGTATATCTTATGTATTAGAATATCTAAACTTTTTAAATATTGAATATCTACATATCGCTGGCTCCCGCTGGTGAATCTATGGCGCAGAAGAGTTCACCAGAAAAAAATTGGGGCGGCATCGTGAAAAACCGAATTTCAGCACAAATGATGGGAATTTGTTTCCAAAATTGGATGATTTGGTATTTGAAAAAATCACGAGCTGTGTATCTTTTGGTAACTGGGCCAGTTCCACTCATTGCTGGCCCGATTTATAGTGAACTAAGTGGATCTAGAAATCACCATTCGAATACCATGGCACCATGGTTATTCCCATGCCCTGGCCTCCCATGGTTCGGTTGGAGGAGCTGTCGCACACCTTGGGTTTCTCAAAAGAGAAGGATTTTCATCTTCAGTCCATGCCGCAACTGGGTGAAATTGGCTATTCGCAAGTGGTGAATCCTGCGATTTTCCCATGGTTGAAATCGATGATTTCAGTGGAACTCCTGGGAATGACATGGACATATCCAAAATAATGGATTTTTTATTGGCAAAGATGATTCAGATTTGCTTGTATAGATATATCATGATATATCATGATATATCTGTATAAGTGTGAGAGGATCCAAATCCCTCTCAGCACTGGCAGCTTCCACTATTGTCCCTTGACCTCAAGGGAAAAGATCAACCAAGATAGTTCCAAATGTGAAGATGGTAAGGTTGTCCTCAACCAAATAGTCAAACCAAATTGGAGTTACACCGAACCCACAAGCCTATGGCGGACCTCACGCGCACTTTTCCCCAAGTCCTGGAATGGTGGCCCTTGAGCCAGTTCGGCATGAAGATCGTGAACGTTTGTTCACTGCATCTGGAAACCCCTGCAGACATGGATAATCGAATGGTCACCTAATGCAGTTTCCTGGAAATCACACTGGTCTCTATCTTAAAATTCGATTATGTAACCATGTTACCCCAAACTTCCTATTGGCATTTTGCCGTAAGGTCATATCTTCATCATAGATACGGAATTTTCCCAATTGCATGACTTTTCTAAGAAAGGTAGCATCCATGGTTTTGGTCAAGCAGTCCGCTAACATGATGGCTGTGGAAATCCATCGACAGGCGGTATGGTCTCGCGACTGCTCTTTCAGAAGCATCACCTCTATGGTTGTCCTCCATTCTTGGCAGTTGGGGACAGCTGTCTTGGTTATTAGATCATACAAAGATTTACAATCAGTGATCATGAGTCCTTGGTGCTCCTGTTTAAGCGATGTCTCCGGTTGAGACCAAACAAAGTAGGGATTCTTTATGTACCCCCACATACAACGTATCCATGTCAATTTATCCAGGGAGCTTGACATAGCGTATGCCTCAGCACTAAGCGTTGAACGAACCACTCTGCCTATTTGTTTAGAGTGCCAAACAATGGGGGAGAATTCTGTAGTTTCATTGTTTCCCAGTTTAGGAGTACATGCCATGATGAAAAGACCTTGTTGTGCTGACAATTGCTTGGCTGAAGCAAAACTTGCATCCCCGAAACTTGCGAAGCATATTTCAGAGATCGGGATTGATCTTACGATCACTGCAGTTTCGGCATGGGTCTGAGCTTCTCGAAGAGTACGATTTCCTTCAAGCAGGGTTTCTACGGTCGCTTGGTTAATGCCCCTTTGCAGTCCGGCAACACGAGCTGCAATGTCTGGTCTAGAGTGGACGGCTGCGTATTGTAAACTTCCACATAACCCTCGAAGTTGTTGCATTTCATGTGGGGTTATTTGGCTTTCTGGCTGAGCCCTTCTAGTTTTTGGGACATCAATGGGACATATTTTGTGGATATATTTTCCCTGGTTAACCTTAATGGAATGATCTGGGAGTTGCTCAATATCAAGACCCGTAAACTTGAAACTTCCATATTCCCGGGAACCGAACGGTAAGCTCTTCTCAAGTTGTTGAAGAGCCCTTTCAAACTGTTCATTACCCCCTCCGATACCATCGTCCACATGTGTTCCAAGTATCCCGTCAAGTTTTTGTGGATTTTGGGAATTTCTGAGAAGGAAAAGACAGTTATCCAAGGGGTGAGCTTCGAAACCTACCTGCTCTAGTCTTTTGCGGAACTCTTTGTAAAAAAGGAGAGGTGCATCCACACGACCGTATGCATTTCCTTTCAAGAGACAAACCTGGTTACTTGTCATACCAAGGAGCTCTTTCAATTCCGCTGGGGCTTCCATCGCTAGTTCGCGTTCGTCCGAACGCCCTCGAAGAAAAGCAGTTGTGATATCAAACGATTGAATCATCCACTGCATACTGGAAACGGTCTGTAGCAGTAGCATCCTAGAGTCACGTGTCATGGTGGGGCTGTCAGAACAAAGGGTTCCAATATCGGGATCTTGAAAGCCTTTGACTACTAGTCTAGCTTTTGCTTTACGACCGGTCGTTGATGATGGATCATCTTTCCAAGTAAGAATCCAACGGGACGACATAATACGTGATGGGTGAATCCTATCTCGTAATATGGCTTGGACGGTGCTCGTGTCTAGCCAACACTTCAGCTCTTTTTGTTTAGCTGCTTGGAAAAGTTTCTTTTCTTCCGCAGTTAACTCACTGTATGTCACTTCATGACGTGACTTTTTGGCTGCAACTGTCAGACATGGGAGAAACTCTTTGGGCCGTTTGAGAAAACGAGTCAGCTGTTGCTGCGGCAATTCAAAAGCGAAGGACGTGCATGCCATCTCATGGCAATCTTGATCCGTCCATGCTGTATGGCAATCTTCCACATGTATGTCTGAGTCTTGAGAGTTTTCCAGTATAGTTGCATTATACACTGGTTCCATGTCATCGGCTTGATGGCTTGATTCCTGGTCAGTATCAAACGATGCTGTGGAAGGTGGCTCTTCAGCGGCTTCAGGACTAACCTCGCTTTCAGCTTCCTCTCGGATTGAGGACATTGGAGAATCGGGCACTGGAACATTTCTTGCTTGGTCCACTTGTTGGGCATCTCTCTGCATGGTTTGATCATCAAGTTGGGGTGCATTGGAATTTCTGCGATTGGGTTCTTCTTCTGGCTGATTGGTTGGACTGTTGTCTTCACTGGGATTATTAGGGTTATCGGGATTATTTTCGGCATTATCAGTCGGGGGATCTATTTCACTTATGTCTAAGTATTGAAAAAGTCCACTTCTTTCCCTGAGTTTATATTGTAGTTGTTGGGCCATTCTCTGTAGTTGGTCTTGACTGGAGGTTTGGACAAACGTGGAATGCTGTTGGAATTCTCTAAGGGAAACCGGTCTCAAGTTCTCATGTGCACATCTGAGTAAACGATTGAGATGGGTGATCCATATGATCGTTCGTGATTCTTGGCATACAATTTGAGCTGGTCCGTTCCACCTACCCTTCTCGAGTACATTGGGGGACTTACGTTTATCCCAGTACATGCACAACTGGCCACATGCCCATGGATGAACCACTCCACGGGAACGCCTAAGCATTGCTCTACGTAGGGCATCGCTGCTGTCAGCCTTGGCAAAAGCTGCCCGGGCAGCTGTTCGCATCCGAAGTTTCTGTTGAAACAGGGTGCTAGGCAGATCGTCGCTCATGGAGTTGAGGTGAGCTGCAGTGTTTTCATCGCTGGCTATGGATGCAGGCAAACGGCTGGCTTTTCCTAACACTGCTTGTTCAGGGCTGAAACCATCAATGACTGACATGGTGTTCTTTGCATGAAAGCACTGCTGTAATGCTTCATCAAACTGTTGTTGATTTTCTATTGGCATCTCGTTGTCAATACGGCTCAGCATCTCTTCTATAATGCCTCCATGGCGTTCAATTCTGCCACGTTGCCAGGGTGCGGCCGACAGAATAGGCTGAATTCCATGTTGGAGCAGCAAGTCTTTCCATTCTGGCGTTACGAATTCACCTCCTTGATCGTGAGCTATTTGCTGGGGATATCCTGCCCATAGGAACCACAGTTGTTTCATAGCTAGAACGGTATGAGGGCTATCCTTTATGAATCTTTGACCAAGATGGAATCGAGTTGCTTCATCCAAGATGTGGAACACGTCAAACTTTAATCCCTTTTTCCCCTTCCATTCAAACCAGTCTACTGAAACCTTTTCGTTAAATTCTTTGGGGTCCTTCAGATTACCTGGTGTGGATAGTTTGGGCTGACTTCTTTCGGAACAGGACGCGCACAAGTAATCACTGGCTCCATCGATCAAGGCTTGTTGTGCTCTAGCCTCGGACAAGTGCCGGGCCAGTTTCTCTGCTGTAGGATGGCCCAAATTATTATGCAACTTCCGAATGGTGGCTTGTTCGGTCTCAGTTAACGCTAAAAATTTGGGACCCGAGACACTGGCGGCTACAGGTGTCCAAGTTGGAACGCTTGCAGGGATTGCAGGTGCCGAGGAAGAAACTTCCTGAACAGTGGCACCTTGATTTACACTCTGGGGCATGTGATTGCCTTCGGCGTCAATTTCCATAGTATGGTCACTGACTCGGGTCGCGAAAATACACAACATGACATGACTTGGCTTGGCGTGTCGATGTTGTTGCAACTTCGTCAACTTGGTCCAGTCTTCTTGACCCAAGTCCACAACATCGGTTGAGGAGCGAAGCAATACTATGGTCTTACGAATTGGCAAATCGTCGGCCCATCCAGTGTCAGGCATGATGTATCTCTCCAGCCCTTTTCCTGCCTTGATGGCTCCAACACGAAGATCGGGGACCAGTTCTTGGATGCTTTTAAATGTCGGGTGCATTGGGTTGGTCCATATTTGAATGCCTGATTTTGGAAGATCTGACTTGAGCTTATTGAAAATGGGCTTCCACAGATCATTCTGGTTCGCACTTTCCACAGCTTCGGGAGACTCATGATCTAGTTTGGCCTTCTTGTTGGGTGGGCCCTCTACATGGTCTTCTACATGGTAAACTGGTCTTTCTATTGGGGCCCCTTTACCCTTCATTATCCCCTTAATGATGGCTTTGGCAAATTGTCTAGGATAACGGCTGGCAAACTGGGAGAGACGAATGTTCTGATTTCGCCATTGGCAGTTTCCGGCAATTTGGGCATGTACATGTTCTCCATGGCATAACCGGCTGTCTAGGGTTTCCAACATGTCTCTTGAGGTGGTCTGGATCCTAGTTTTCTTTTGCATGGGATCCTGGCTTTCCGGATGTTTGAGGCCAAACTGACATTGATCCAGCTTAGCAGGAAAGGACATACGCAGGAATTCTTCCAACTCTCGCTGATTCCACATGCCGGAGGTCCAGGGATTCTCTAAATGAGTGTGACGACCCTCGGATGCTTGAATCTTCGCAAGGAGATTACACAGTTTCAAATGGACTCTGGAATCCTGCTGAACTTGCCAAACACGTCGGAATCCTTGCATGCTACGGTAGGAGTTGAATCTGTTCCAGGCAGACCACGGAGCGCATTCTGGAGACAGCCACAAGTTCTTGGGACGATACAACAGAACATGCATGATCAAACTGGTGCGCCCTTCCGGAGTGCTAAGGTCTCCATCTTCCTTGGTGAACCTTTTTGCTTTCAAACCACAGGCTGTTGCAACTTCAGTAAGCTGGCTATCTGGATATGCATAAACCTCTAAGATGTCCAACTGAGGGCAATTGTTGTTACCTTTCTTGATAAGTTTATGAACATCCTTCAACCACATGGCTTCTTCATGAGACATAACAACTTCTTCATGTTTTGCATGGAAAACTGGGCGGTCACGAATTGGCTGCCAACTTCCTACATCTGGCCGGAGTTCAGAGCAGCTGATTCCAGGCGCTGGCGAGTGATGGAGTAGTTTCCGAAATCCTCCGCATCCTCGGTCATGGAGTCCTTTCGAGCCAGCAGCCACTTCACGTACCCCTGATCGTTGTTGTAGGTCCACTCGAAAGTCTTGCCCTGGTGTTTGCGACCCCAAGACACTTGCTTTCGGCCCCAACTTTCCAAAGCATGGCTTGTGAGGGCAACTTGATCGTTTCCTGAAGGCATTTGGACTGCAGGACTGGTTGGTGCTCTTGATGTCTTTGGTGGGCCATGAGCTACTGGAGGGCTGTGAGCCACTGGCATCCCTGCAATTTTCATGTTCATCACTGGCACTCGGGTCGATGGCATCGGTTGGGAAGTACTTGGGGCCACTCCAGCACTTGCTGGTTGACTGAACTCTTCCTCCATCTCGGCTATCTCCCATAGGTCTGAACCGATGGTGGGCTCCAGATTTGCCAACATAGGTCCACTGGATCTCACTTGAGGGCCCAGGCATTGTCGTTGGATCAGATCGCCCAGCTCGGTGATCTTCATTCGTTGACCCTTCACCTCGTTGATCAGCTGTTGAATCGGAGTCATGTCCTGCTCCGGCATCTCCTCGGTGGGCTGCAGGGCTTTCGTGAGAGTGAACAACATGTAGAAGAGCACCCTCAAGCTCTCCATCACTTCTTCTGACAACACTCTCAAACCCTCCAGAACTTCCTGACGCGATGGCATCTTTGAAATGCAACGGTGGATCAAGACCTGGTGGGGCGATCAGTTGATGACTTGAGGCGACAAAAGCTGCTGATGCGGTGGACGGTTTGTCCGGACTCCTGCACAAATCAAACATGTCAATTACAAAAAGACCATTAGAGTTTTCTCTCAAAGGCAGTGAACGGTTCAGCTTCTTCAAATAACATGTGTTGTTTTCCAAATCGATGCTGGCTCCAAGGCTTTTCATGGCTTTGATTGACAACAGAAATGGTGTAGCTTTAGGAACCACTTCAACAAGCAGCCAAATGCGCTGTCGACCATGCTCCAACGGGATTTGCAATTGCTTAAAGCTGTATTCTACCTGATTATTTCCAAACCTGAATCCGATTTGACTGGGAACTTCTCGGATTTGCTCTCTGATGCTGGGCGGCAGTTTTCTCAGGACGGATGGCACATGCTCAATCCCTATGACGCTTCTGCTGGCACCGGTGTCCAAAATGGCCATTCCGGTGGTCTGTGCACATGGTCTGGTTGACCGACTGGCTAAGCATTCAGCCTCTGGTTGTGAGGTCTTCTGGCAAAGGCTCTTGTTCGGCTTCCTGTGCATGTTGGCAGGCTCAGGCATCTTATCGTTATCCCCACTTATCTTACCCTTATACCCCAACTTATATTTTGGGAGACGTGATTCCAGGAAACGGATGGCATGGTGACGGGCATGACTTGGGATTCGGATGCTTTCGGATGCTTTCGGGAGACTATGTACAAAACAACACACCTCCGTGATTGAATTTCGGGCCTCTTCCACATAGTTGGTCTCGAAGATCACCTGCGGAAGTTCTTCATGAGGAAGATCTCCATCCACTGCATCCACAACGTTGGCCTGTTCACGAACACCTTCCTTTTTCTGTGGGCACTCTGCTTTCCAATGGCCCAGGGCCCCACACAATTTACAATGTGTGCGGCTGATCCTGGCCAACAACTCATCCTTTCCACCTTTCTGGCCCCCCTTTCGTCCGCCACGACCATAGGAGAAGTCTCGGCCAAAACCTTTTCCCTTAGACTTCGACGGCCAGAATCCACGACCACGCCTGCGATCATTGATCCGTTGACGTGCCTCCTGATAGGAGACTAATGCCGTCTGAAGATCCGGCACATCCTGGAACATATCTTCCAGATCACGCTCGAATTGTTGCACCAAAAGGGCATCTTCGTCTCCCTGACCTGCTAAATAGTCCACAGTCTCGGCAGTGAGGGCTTCATCTTCTTCTGTACTCACATGGAAAGTACTCTGAGGCACTGGTTCACCATCGTGTTGGTTGAAGGCCTCATCAGTGTCCACATAGTTGGTGGGATAGATCTTCTTTTTGCCTTCTCCGGCTCCGAAAAGAACCTTGGTAGACAAAGTTCTCATTGCCTGTTCGACTCCCTTGATTTTGATCTCTCCATTGGTCATCGCTAAGACCTTCTTCTTGTCTTCATTGCTGAGAGCTGACTGTCTCAACATCACAAACGCCTGCATGTCCTTCACGGTCACTTGGCCACCTAGGTCATCGAAGGCTGCGTTCAAACGCAGTGAGAAGCTGTGAGTGGCCTCATCGCTTTTCTGGGTGATTCGATAGAGAGCTTTCTCGAAGAGCTCAAAGGTTTTCAGTTCACTGGTTTCCTCCCATGTTGAGAGGGCTTCTAGAAGGTAGTTGACTCCGTTGGCACCATCTAGAAGTTTGCTCGGATCCAAATTGCGCACTTGGCTCCAGGCAGTTCCCTTGCACATCATCGCCAGTCTTGGCGCCAGGTTTGGACGATCCTTCTCTGGGAAGACTCCGTGCAGAAAACGACATTTTTGGGTATATTCTCGTATGTCATCATTGCTAGGATCAAAGCTAGGCAGCTGTCCCCAGAGCCCGGTCGCCTTGTCCTCGTTGGTGACTGAACTCGCGGACATTGTTCACCAAAGTCCTCAAAGTTCAGTTGGACCCTCAAGTCCGGCTTTGCGCGCTGGCAGCGCGAGCTCGCAAGCTCCGCTACCAGTGTGAGAGGATCCAAATCCCTCTCAGCACTGGCAGCTTCCACTATTGTCCCTTGACCTCAAGGGAAAAGATCAACCAAGATAGTTCCAAATGTGAAGATGGTAAGGTTGTCCTCAACCAAATAGTCAAACCAAATTGGAGTTACACCGAACCCACAAGCCTATGGCGGACCTCACGCGCACTTTTCCCCAAGTCCTGGAATGGTGGCCCTTGAGCCAGTTCGGCATGAAGATCGTGAACGTTTGTTCACTGCATCTGGAAACCCCTGCAGACATGGATAATCGAATGGTCACCTAATGCAGTTTCCTGGAAATCACATATAAGTATATATATATAATATAGCTAGATATGAAAGGGAGAGTTGTTCGGTAAATCGGTTTCAGCTTTTGAAATGTCACACGGCGTCATGCCGGGGACCGCTCGGAGAATTTGGGGCCCCAGAGTGCCAGATGTGTTTTCTTTCAGCGGAGACCTACAGTTTAACACACTTTTAACACAAATGGTTTCCATGATTCTCCCATTATCCCATGGTGTCCCATGGATCCCAAAAATGGATAAAAATGGGATGTGAAACTGCTGAAAATCAGATTCTATTCTGGAGGGTTTCTGATAAAATCTGGATAAGTCTGCTTGGTGCTGACTGGAAGCATGTTTTTTTTTTTTTTTATGACTTTCCCATCATATTGGGAATATATAATCATCCCAACTGACGAAGTCCATCATTTTTCAGAGGGGTAGGCGAAAAACCACCAACCAGAGGATTTGTTGAGGTCCAGTCAAACATTGCAGGATTTCTTGAGTCCATAGAATTTTCAGGTACCAAAACTTACTGGTGCGTTTTACGTAGGGTGTCTGGATGGGTTGCTGGGGGTTGCTGGGATGATTATTGATAGCTATTATGGATCATTCCCGAAAATTCCCTGCGTTTAGCACCAGTAAGAGTACTTCCAAGCATCCATGGGTCTATGACATTTTGATACATTTTGTCTCGTGCCGTGCGAAGTGATGCAACCCCTTTGGGCGATGGCCCACCAGAGATAGAAACGTGTGGCACCAGGGTAGTTCGATGTGGTTTCCCCGTAACTTGTCTATTGAATTGTGGGGGTTGCTGCATTGTTTATCACTGGAAGAGGCCATAGGGACCAACAAGAGGAGAGCCTCAACAAGATCAAGAGCAGAAATGGTGTTCAAAACTCCAAATGTCCCAAAAAACTACTAGTTGATAAGGCTTTCCAGTTTGCTCAGTGTAGATTCCTATACTCAATCAACTAGGGTCAAGTGGTCACGGCTCAAAAACGGTTTATCTCAGAGTATTTACCGTCCAATAAACTAACACTGGCTGCCATCGCTGCCATGGGCCTAGAAAAATTGATGATTTACCATATGTTTCCACTATTTACCATATGATTCCATATGATTCCACACATGGTGTGCCATATGTTTCCTATCGAAATGACCATATTGTTTCGCATTTCAAATGACTCCAGATCGCTGTGCGCTCGCATTTCAAAGGCTAGTGGCGCTGACAGATCCCAGCACCTTGGCTCCCTTGGCGGCGAGCCCAAACAGTGTGGGGGAGTTGGAGGATAATGTATGATAATGTGGATGATAATGTGGATGATGATGATGATGATAATGTGGATGATGATGATGATGATGATAATGTGGATGATGATGATGATGATGATGATGATGATAATGTGGATGATGATGATGATGATGATGATAATGTGGATGATGATGATGATGATAATGTGGATGATGATGATGATGATAATGTGGATGATGATGATGATAATGTGGATGATGATGATGATAATGTGGATGATGATGATGATGATAATGTGGATGATGATGATGATAATGTGGATGATGATGATAATGTGGATGATGATGATAATGTGGATGATGATGATGATGATAATGTGGATGATGATGATGATGATAATGTGGATGATGATGATAATGTGGATGATGATGATGATGATAATGTGGATGATGATGATGATGATAATGTGGATGATGATGATGATAATGTGGATGATGATGATGATGATGATAATGTGGATGATGATGATGATAATGTGGATGATGATGATGATGATGATGATGTTAAGAATAATGATGCCGAGGAGGAGGAAGATTTTGATGTTGAGGATGAGGATGTTAAGGATGATGAGGTGCAGGGCGATGATGTTGAGGATGAGGATGTTGAGGATGATGAGGTGGAGGATGATGATGTCAAGGGGGAGGAAGAGGATGATGTTGAGAATGATGATGAGGAGGAGGACCGATCCCCAGACCACGCCGCAGGTTTTGCGCGAGCCTGCGCAGGCGAAATGCATGTCCACATGTCACAAGAGTCATCAAAAGAGCCACTTTACACGGAAATTTACAGGAAAAATGTCGCGGCCCAGATTGGGCCCACAACGCGGACACACACTTTGTGCGAGCCTGCGCAGTATAAACACATGCCAAGATTTCTTAAGAGCCACTTTATACGGAAATTTGCAGGTAAAATGCCGCAGACCAGAGTGAGCACCCTGATCAAGCACCGGCCTTGACACTTACCGTAAGAACCCCTCAGTGTGGACACGCTGTTTGGGGAAAAAGGCAACCACTTCGAAGACATAACCCTTCCGGAATTTGCACTATCCAAACCAGTTCTAGTTGTGATTCACGGCTTTTGGCATCTGTTTGTAATTGGGGGCAGAACCGGACAATGGAATCTTCGGGTCAGCTAAAACCAACAAACAGAACTACGTGTTTGAACACAGGGTTTGTCCTGTTGAATCTTGTGGTCGAAAAAAACATTTTCCACAATTCGTCCTCTTCAAAATTGCCATTTTGGTGTGTGCCGGTATGCCCGTTCCCATTTTTCAGCACCAATAGTTGGGATAGTTGGGGATTCTGGTCAATCCTGCGGAACTGTATGGGTCACATGACACCCCCACAGTGGCAAGGACAAATCGATAGTTCTTATGACCACGTAGATCTACGTAGTATTTTGTCGACTTCCTGAAATTTGACGTCAGATACCTTCATGCATTCCAAATGTTGTTGAATAGTTGGATATACGATCTACATGATTTTCTCACATTGTTTATTCAACTCCCATAAAGAGTTAGAGTTAGAGATAACATCCACACTGAGTGAATGCATCATATCACATGCACCATTCCAAGAATGGTCACTGTCACTGTGTTGTAATCTGTTCCCTTAAGAATAAGTCACAAACTGCAGTTTTTTTTAATTATGATAGTGATGTGACCATACAGTATCCATTTACATTTGGTATATATTTGTTTCATTTTTTTGAAGTTTACATACCCATGTTGATTGGTTCACTCCCATTGGTTACGTACCCACAAGTTGGTCAAAACATGTTGGTTCATTCCAACACATAAAATGCGTCACCTTGTTGGTCATCCTTTAAAAGATAGAACCGTAAATCAATTTGATGATGGTTTGCTGTAATTTTAAGTTCTGATAGTATCCTCCAAGGTAGATCATCCCAATTCCTACTAGTGATAAATCCCCACTAATATGAATTATATGAATATATATATTTACGTATGTATACTAATATATTATGTTATATTCATATATTTAAGCATATATATATATTATTCATATATTTAAGTATGCATATATATATAAATATTATATTAATATATATATATATATTATTCATATATTTAAGTATGTATATATATTTTTTGTATTCATATTTAAGCATATATATATATATTATTCATATATTTAAGTATGTATATATATATATATATTGTTTTGTATTCATATATCTAAGTCTGTATATATACAGTAGATAGATATATAAATGTTCGGATATTTTCCTATTTCTTGGGGGCGTTACTACGTTGATGGGATTGATCGCCTTTACGATCAGGCAATCCCTTCGGCTCCAAGCAGATGTTATCCTGGGTCACTTTGTCGGAGATGGTCGACCGAAACTGGGGAAACTGGTCCCAAAGTTGCCATGGCTTCAGCCCAAAGCCATCGAAAAGTGGGGAAATTTGTGGGGTAAATCATCTGCTGCTAGGAAAACGAGGTCTTTTCTTGTTTTAAAAACATGGTCGTACACCCCAAATGTCCTAGAGTTTTGATGCTCACAAAAAGAAAGGGAAGTTGTCCTAAAACGGACTTATGTATCCTCATATATATATTATATAATATATAGATTTCCTCTTGGGAATTATGATTACAATTTCAATGTCCTAAAAAGCTGTTTTCCCCACATATATATATATTTCTAATTTGGGAATTTTGATTTGCCCAGATGAATCATGAGATCGTGGCCTAAACATCCAAGCTGGCACTGTGATATGCTATGAAACAAAGATGGTGAAATGGACATCCCATTTTGAACACGTAAAATCAGGATTGAAAAGATGCGGATTTACTCAGATCGGTGTGTCCAAAAATAGGTACCCTCTGGTAAACAAACATAGTTATTGAAAATGGTCATAGAAATAGTTGATGTACCCAGCTATAAAATGGTGGATCTTTCCACAGTTATGTAAACGTTTACCAGAGGGTAAATCCCATTAAATTTCATTAAATCTCATTAAACCACCATACACTCCCATAAAAAACAATTAAACCACCATAAAATCCCATCACACCCCATTAAACCACCATAAACCCAATAAAATACCATTAAACCACCATAAAATCCCATAAACAAACAATTAAGCCACCATAAAATCCCATTAAAAAAACATTAAGCCACCATAAAATCCCATAACATCCCATTAAACCACCAATAAGTCCCATAAAAACAATTAAACCACCATAAAATCCCATTAAAAACCATTAAACCACCATAAAATACCATACAATCCCATCAAACCACCATAAAATCCGATAAAATACCATTAAACCACCATAAAATCACATTAAAAACCATTAAACTACCATAAAATCCCATAAGAAACCATTAAACCACAATAAAATCCAATAAAATCCCATTATACCACCATAAAATCCCGTAAAATCCCATTAAACAACCATAAAATATCATAAAATCACATTAAACCACCATAAAATCACATCAAAAACCATTAAACCACCATAAAATCCCATAAGAAACCATTAAACTACCATAAAATCAAATAAAATCCTATTATACCACCATAAAATATCATAAAATCACATTAAACCACCATAAAATCCCATAAGAAACCATTAAATCACTGTAGCTCTAAATCCGAACTAAGTGGATCTATTTCACCATAGCTGAAGTTATATCCCAACATCTCCGGGGCTTTAAATTCCCATGGTCCCATTGCCCAAGCTGGCCATGGAGATGTGGCCTCAGGCTGAAGCCATGGCCCATTGATGATAACCATGATGATTTACCAATTAAACATGTTAATATAAATCTGTATATGATATATGTTCTAGATGTTATATATAATATCATAATCACATTAATATGAACACATGATGATTTCCCAGTTCGCTGCGTTAAAGAACCAGAGGCCTTTTCGGGTAACTTTTCTTGCAGAAGGCTTGGAAAAACCGGCACATTCTCGGGAACATGATCTTGGACCCGGTCATTTTCCAACAACTTCAGGGATGGTCATCCCTACCATTTTCATCGGAGTTGATCAATTCCCCCTTCATGTTTGTTCAGCCCCAGAAACCATAGTTTGGTAAACTTTTTACATATCTTTTGGACATGTTTGGACCATTTTATTGGGTGTGTAGTATGAATAAAGGGATTATACCGTACAAAAAACACCAATGTTGGGATGACCATAGCTGAGGCGGCCGTCTTCTATTTCCTCGCGCTACTTGGATTTTCCCGAACCAGGCCATGTGGCGGTGTACATTATTTTTGGGACACCCCATACCACAATAATGATGGCAAAAATGATATGATATGATATACGATATACGAAATACGATATGATATAGATTTATAATTATATATATAAGTATATATATATATTTAAGTATATATATATATATATTTAAGTATATATATATATTCAATTATATACATAAAATATTATATATACATATAGAACAGTAAATAAAAATGATTAGGTAAGTATATTTATATGATACATGATACATGATATATGATATATGATATTCCGGGTTATTTTCACATTTGGTTTCTTCCATTTGTTTCAGCCAGGAGTTGATTGGTGTCGGGGTCTGGCGTTTCAGAATCCGCAAGAACCCTTCTTTGGGGTTCTGACAAACTCCCAAACCACTTACTGTATATTTCTATAATAACACACACACATACATATACACATACATGTACATACACCTATACATATACATCCCGCCGGACCGGAAACCGTTCCCATAAAACGCACGTTTATTTTAAAAATGGTGATTTTACCACAGCGCCGTGCTGATTTGATGATTGGAAATCCTGGAAAAACTTGGGGCGTGTTTTTTGGCTTTTCAGCGTCATCGCTGCAACGCATGCACCGTTATCAGCTGGCAGTCAGCATTCTTGTGAACGCATCTCCATTGGGAAGCTCTAGCATACACCATCAAGAGGTCACTTTTGGCACTCAAGTTGCTGGGAATTGACTTTTTCATCAGATTCCACTTTCAGCAGCGTAGCAACATGTAACGTAGGAAACGATCCCGGAGATCTCAGCAGCGTAGCAATATTTTATGTACGAAGTACAAGGAACGTTAACATGCCCCCCCCACCCCACCCCACCCCAGCAGCAGCGTAGCAACATGTAACGTAGTAAACGATCCCAGAGATCTCAGCAGCATGGCAATATATCATGTACGAAGTACAAGGAACGTTAACATGCCCCCCCCCCCCCCACCCCCCCCCCCCCATCAGCAGTGTAGCAACATAAACGTAGTAAACAATCCCAGAGATGTCAGCAGCATGCAATATATCATGTACGAAGTACAAGGAACGTTAACATGCCCCCCACCCCACCCCACCCCCCCCACCCCATCAGCAGCGTAGCAACATATAACGTAGTAAACAATCCCAGAGATGTCAGCAGCGTGGCAATATTTCATGTACGAAGTACAAGGAACGTTAACATGCCCCCCCACCCCACCCCACAATCGCGATACTCAAAAACGTGCGTTTTACGGGAACGGTTTTCGGTCCGCAGGCATATACATATATACATATATACATATATACATATATACATATATATATATATGTCGATAAAATCCCCAACATGCATGCCCCCATCATATCAGTCACATCATTTTATATCCCTCCACCGTAAGAATACCTACCCCAGCCCTACATATTGAACCCCCCTCTGGGCCGCTATGGGTTTGTGTGAAAATAGTGTACTCCAGAAGCTCACGGTTCATCATTATCCCCGAAGAAAACGTGCTAAAAAAAATATCACCATGTTTTTTTAGACATGATATGGATATCCCCGATAGTGCCATGGATATTCCATAGTACCATGCTATGCAACATTTTGAGACGCCATATCGATTGGTGAAATCCCCACGTGTTGCCGTTGCCTGGTCCCATGGTTTCAACCATCTGAGGTTACTGACCCTGCTAGCATTTCAGCTGGAATTTCGTGGTAGCAACGATTATGCCACTCAGATGCATGGGAAAATTCGACCTTAAAATTCATAACAATCATTGATGGATTGATAGTCTTTTTCTATGGGAGATTAACGGACACATCACATTGGAATATCATGGGAGAATACAACCAAGAATATGTGATATGGATAATACATATATATGGATAAATTTGACCACGCCCTCACGTCGCGACGTCGAATGATTGAATCGGATTACGGATAGCCTCCGGCACTGCCATGGCAATTGGACATCCCCTTTTTTATGAACGGTTTTTCCCCCAACTTCAGCGGATTAACGTTGGTGAAAAAATATATTGATCATTATACAGTGAGCTTTACCCAAAAAATGTTAAGAAAAGCTTCAACTTTCCACTGTCTTGGCAGGATTTAACTTTTTATTTTTTTTGGGTGGTACTACTTGGGTGCAGTTCTAGTTATAATATGTTATAATCTATGAGTGGATATGTCAGCATAAATATAGGCTGGTTATATGGGTTATATAATGTTATATTATGTATACCAACGTCTAGGGGTTATTAGCATGGTTGTACCCAACTGCACCCCCAAGTATAAGTACCTAAGCTGTAATTGACCAAACATGGATAGTTCACCACTTTGTGCATCCGTGATGGGTTTGTCATGGGTTTGTCTGGCAATTTAGGGGTAATTGCAGTATCCCCAATTTAAATGGATTTTTGGACTATTGATACATACATACATACAGACAGACAGGCAGACAGACAGACATACATACATACACACATACACTACATAATTCACATAATTTTCATAATTTACATAATTTACATACATTACATACATTACATACATTGCATACCGTACCATACCATACCATACCATACCATTACCATACCATACCATACCATACCATACCATACATACATGCATGCATGCATTACTTACATACATTACTTACATACATTACTTACATACATTACTTACATACATTACTTACATACATTACATACATTACATACATACATACATACATACCATTACATTACATTACATTACATTACATTACATTACATTACATTACATTACATACATACATTACTTACATACATTACTTACATACATTACTTACATACATTACTTACATACATTACTTACATACATTACATTACATTACATTACATTACATTACACTACATTACATTACATTACATTACATTACATTACATACATACATACATTACTTACATACATTACTTACATACACTACTTACATACATTACTTACATACATTACTTCCATACATTACTTCCATACATTACTTACATACACTACTTACATACATTACTTACATACATTACTTACATACATACATACATACATACATACATACATACAACGGATTATGGATTATCCGTTGAATTTGTTGGAGTTATTGATGATGCCATTTAAATGGCCATACATTGGATTCACCGAGTGAACTGTGTGTCAACTTGTCGTTTTACTTCGTGGGTAGATGACTTGCAACACCAAAATAGACAAGTTGGAATCCTGGACAAGATTGGGAACATAGAGGATGGTGCACCCCAGTTCTAAGTTGGTTTATAAATCCCATTAACTATAGTTATCTATAGTTATATCTACCATGAACCATAGTTAAACCACTTATATGGCAACTGAACGCTATCGACTGGGGGCCCCATCCTGTACCATTTATAACATCCAGGGTAGCCAAGAAATGGTTTCATGGAAAAAATAACTTGATGACTTTGCAAACCAACAAACATCACTGGGGCATCACTTCGTACAACATATCCGTCTAGTTGTTTTTGCCTAAAATTCAATTTTTCAAACAATCCCAGTCAACTTCAATCCAAATGAAATTCCATTGGTGCATGACTTTGATCAGCTTAAAGTAAATTCAATTTTTTTCATCATTAAATCTGGATGAATTATAATGACCTCACTGTGACGTCACTGCAATTAATTTGTAAGTAAGGGGACCAAACGGCCTCATGATAGTTTTGAACTTAGTGAATTATGATGAAATTCAGCCAGATATATCTCAGTATCCATTTTTTAGCTCATGATGTAAATCTCATCACCACCCATCACCATCCCATTCAATCCCATGAAAAATCATCATTAAATCATGGCTATCCCTATTTTTATCTATTTTCTGATTGCTGAATCATAGGCCATTCATAGATCTAATAGGCTGATGAGGGAAAACATCAGCTGTCACCACCATCACCAGATGATTTGGCCCTGCAGGAGTTACTCAGTACCAAGTCTCCTGAGACCGACACAGAGACCTGAGGAGGTGAGAGCTGCAAGGGGAGTTTGTAAAAAGGCCCCAAGTCTGAGAAGTTTCCGTTGGTCAACATACGCGATTTTGTTGGATTTATGGTGGATATAGATATGATATAGTTATGTATCTATATATCTTTTATCTATAGCTATAGACTGTACGTGAGTTTCGTTGTTAAACCAAGTTATAACTGGGAGGGACCTTGCCATAGAAGGAGATCAGATTAATTCCGGATCGTTTTGAACGAGGTGCTCTACGAACAGCATGATATTCTTATGATATCCAGGTGCCCCATAGAACGAGGCGATGTAGTATAATTATGACATCGGGAGAAGCGCTTAAATTACCCTCTGGTAAACTAACAAAAAACGATGGAAAATCGCCATTTTTAATGCACTATTTCTATGGCTATTTTCAATAGCAAACTGTTTGTTTACCAGAGGGTATGGCACATTTATGGGGACCAGACAGAATCATATAGAAAGGGGTTCCCAATCTCGAGACCCAAATTGAACACCGGAAATTCGTCCCCGCTGCCGCTCAAAAAAACTTGAGCAGTGATGTGGCGCTGGGAAGGAATGTTTTTCAATGCAGCATTTTTTTCCAGATGGGTGTTTAAACAAATTCTGGTTGTGGTTTCACGTATTGTTGTTCTCCATCCTGGATGGGTGATGATCAACAGTGACTCATAGTGTGGAATGGCTTGAACGTGCAAAATTCAACAGTATTTTAAGGAACCTGGAAGCGTGCGTGAGCACTACTTGGCTACTTGGCTACTTGGCTGTTGGTTTTATCGAAACACCCATTTGGGACTGGCTCAAAATTTAGGAAAGGGTCTCCTACGTTTGGGTACCTTGATTTTGAGCTTTGCCCAGTTTATGTCTGGCCAATTTTGGCCCTGTTTTCAGTGAGCGATGAGGTGGTTTGGTGCAAACCATTTTAAACCATTTTAAACCTTCGGATGGAATGGGGAATCCTATCTTCAGACCCTTTTTTCTTTGTATCAAACCATGGTTTCAACGGAGGTCTCATCGTGAGACGGCTCAGCTTGTAAACTTACTGTGGAGGCAGGATGCCTCTGGCGCGATCAAGGTCAATCAAGGTCAATCAAGGTCAATACCACACTCTGGATCCTGTGATAAGCCTCATCCCGACATGAACCATCCCAACATTTTCCAGAAATGGGGAGGTGACCATTTTATGAACTGTCCCTTGGAGCTTCAAAAAACATGGCTGCACATCACATCAGTTGACCAAACCAATATGACGAAGCCCTGGAAGCCGCAGTCAAGTTGCACGGCTTGGTTATCCATTTTCCTTGGGATTTATGATGATTTATGTATCCATTCTGAGGAATATGGACGCCCATTTGATGGCATACAACCATACCCCGTTAATCCAAATAATTAACTTGACCATGGCACTGATGAGAGAAAAATTGGCTCAGATCGACCTGCTGTCTATGGCCCATCGACCTGGCGCTGTTTTGGCATCCTGGGCAGCGTAGGTCACAGCCGGTGTGCGCCTTGCAATGTCTCGAGGTGTTAGGTCACCCGCGTCGAAAAGTGATGGGAACGCGTCCCAATGTATTCCTGGCTGAGCAGCGCAGAGACCACTGCAATTTTCCAACATGGGGGGTAGCCAACCCCCAGCCCCCCCATGTTGCAAGTTGTAAGATTTACGATGATATCTTTCGGTTAAATCTTCGGTTTATCGTTTGGGGTTACCCTCTGGTAATTTAACGTAGCTATGGAAAATAACAATTTTTCATGGGAAAATCCACTATTAATGGCCATTTTCAATAGCTATGTTCAGAGTTTTTATCACACCTATTTTTACCATCGAGTTAACCATCGATTTGGAGCTGGAGCAAAAACACCATCGCTCCGAGATGCTCCGGGGGGTTGTGAGAATTTCATGTGTTTTTGAGAAAGAAATTCGGCACGAAAAACCAGGATGCAGCAAAAATGCATAATAGAGAATTATGGGTAAAAGTTAAAAGTATTTCCTGATGGTAATCGATTTTCATAGAGAATTATAAAGCTATGATGTTTGTATTCCGATTGTGGGAGTGGATGACCACACACCACATATCATCGACTATAAGAGTTATTCCCTATATATTGATGCCAATGATTAAGCCGCAAGCCACTCTTAATACTTATAACGTTATAACCGAGTATAATACATGATATATCATGGCTTATATTAACATTGGTGTACTTTAAGTTATGATGGGTTATAATCCATTATTCATTTACAACCCATGGATACCCATGGTATGTTTGATAGTTATAACTAGTTATAACCCATTATTTATTTACAAATCTCCATAAGTATACCATAAAACTTGACCATGGCACCTTTAAACACCTTAGGCCAAGGAGCGATTGGATTTCGAGGCCAAGATCGGTCGCGACCTAGCGCGGCTGCCGGGAACACCCAGGGATGGCGATGAAGAGAAAGTTGTTGGAGATGTGAGGGTCCAAGCCGCTCCCTTCACTCTTCATTTCAGTAAGAGTTGTGTAAGATGGCGTAAGCAAAACCCTGGGTTTCGTAGGTGTAAGCATGTTGGTGATAGATGCTTGGGTGAGCCCATGCGTAAGCAGTCCTCTTACTACGGTAAGTGTCACGTATGTCTCACACCCCAACTGGATCAAGGCTGGAAGAGACCCGCCCCAAATGGTGAGAGTATGTGATAGTACCCATTGGTCATTCAAAATAGATTTTAAGTCTAGCTAAGCAGCTATGGAAGAATTCATAGATAAATTAATAGGTAATAATGGAAGAATTCATAGATAAATTAATAGGTAATGTAGTAGGTAAATAGATAGATCAATAGGTAAATCATAATAAATCTAAATCATCCATTTTCATGGCGCATGGCTTCCATAGCTATCTCAAACCTGATGGGAAGTGGTTACTAACCAGAGTTAGTAACCACCCATTTGGAAGTTTCCATAAATGTGGGTATCCCAATAGCTGGATGGGTTATTTCATGGAAAATCCCGTCTATAAATGGATGATAACTTGGGGTACCCCCATGACTTAGGAGACCTGTATATACTGGATATTGGGTATTATATTGAATCATAATGGATCTATATTTTGTTTTTTGGATATTATATTGGATCTATATCTATATCATATAGCTATTAAAAAAAAAAGATGGGCTTTATTCTTTCGCAGATGTGAGATGACCGGGATACAAAAAACGGTTCAGAATCTCTTGGAGTCCCAATATTTACATGCGCGGTTTCCACATTTGTTTTTAAGGGATTTATGGATGAATTGGGTTATTTAACATTGATAATGGATAATGATAATGGAATGATAATGGATTTTGTATTAATACATAAATTTTGATAATGATGATTACTATTGTATTAATACAAAACTAATACAAATCAATAGCCTCCGGTGTCATCCAACATGGGACAATTCCCCATCAAAAGTTGGATATTTCCCAGCTGTAGACCTCCATCACAATGATGAGGATTTCTCAGTTTCTGACCCATGGGGTCTGAAAATATGGGATAGCCATGGATAGCCCAAAATGGTGATGAAATCATGGGCAAAATGATGAAGCATGAAATTTTGGCTTAGCCTACCCGGCCTGGTAAACGTTTACAGTTTGCGAGATTGAAAATGGTGATTTATAGTGGATTTACCCATTGAACATGGTGATTTTCAATAGCTATGTTAAATTACCAGAGGGTATTTTTAGACAAAGTCCATGTCGCATATTTCATGGCTCCTTTTGCCGGGAATATTTTTACACTCCACTAAACCGGAGGCCGGTTTCCTGATACCGGGAGCTACCGCATGGCAGCATCAGCAAAGGGGAATCAGCAACAAATATCTTAAGATGTGCTCAAAAGTTCAAGAACACTCGTCATTTACATCATTTTCTTTGGACCATTCAGTTAGTGGCCAAAAAGATAACATATTATACATATAGTGATCATGCAGTAGATAGAATATTTTTTTTTTCCAACAAAAACTCATTAAAATGGGAATATGTTTGAAAAAAACATATCTACTTCAGGATAATATGTGTATATAGTATATATATATATACACAATTATATAATTATTAGGAAATATTAAGATATATCGTGGTATCCCGGCGACCCAGGGCACGTTCCTCAAGACCTGGGCGCTCCGTCTTTGAGCGTGTCACTGCTTGGATCCTGGCGGTTATAGCGGAGTCACAGATGGGTCATATATTATATAACTTGAATAATATATATATATATATGATATTATACTATATTATGTTATGTTATATTATATTATATTATATTCGTATATCTAGATACAGAATAGGATCTACTACTTAAGGTCTAGAGTGCTATCTCTTGAGGCTTGAGGGTCTGGGGGTCTAGACTCCCATAGACCAGTGTAGACCGTTGGATTTTTCCCCAAACAGCTCTTGAGCTGAATGGGGTTCTCAATTCTTGCTAGAAACGGCCTTTGTTCCCTCATGATTTGCTGGCTCCTCCTGGTTCCGGCTGGGGTTCCGGTGCTTGTCTCCCTTATTCTCTCTTCTTGCTTTCCGCAGGAAATGGGTTCTGTTCCATCATGATTTGAGCAACCGTCAGCCAGATGGAAGCCTCCATATTCTCATCGATTTGTTTCACGGGCAGCTGTGTCTCTTTAGTCGGAAGTCACGTGGGCTTGTGCTGGCGCTATTGTTCTCAAGAGACAACAGAAGTAATGAAGGAGTAAAACAGAAGACAGGAGTGTGCCAGACAGTTCCATGAATTTTGAATTGCACATGACCTTGGTGGAAACATGCGTTGTTGCTGTTTGGGGTCTATGCTGGTGTAATTGGGGTTTTGAGTTTTCAGGAGGTTATCTTTTTTTTGGTTCGCCATAGATCCCCTATGTGGGTTGGAAGCAATAAAGATGGGATTCTCAAAGCGACATGTTGTGCAAAAAGCAATCTCAAGCCATGCCCTGGGTTCCAAGTCTGCAAGCACACCTAAAATTGGGAGAGATACATTTTCAGAACCATTTCGTATTGACTGTTGACAGTGAGGATACTTTTTCAAACCTCCCTGAAACGTTCGACGACAATTCTGAGTGATTAATCATTGTTGTTCACGCTCTTTGAATATTGTAGGTGCAAGTTGTTTGGGAGCCAAAGGCTGGTCAAAACATTCGAGTTTCTAATAGCCCGAACCCAACTTCCAAAAATTCAGGTGCTGGCATTTTTAGAAAACCATCAACCTGGGTCCTCCTTAAGATCAACGAAAGCAAGAACCCAAATGGGCCAAATTCTCATGGGATGATTTGGGTCCAAGAAACGGTCGTAAAAAAAGACATTATTATACGCACACACACACACATGTATATACGTAAATATTTACCCATCCATCTATCTACGTAATGTATCTAATGGCTGGGTCCTCTTGAGTGTTCTTAAGTGTTCTTGGCTGCTTTTGTATGTTCTTAGGTGTTCTTGGTATTTGGATGCAGTAAGGTCTGAAAAAAATCAACCCACCACCCAAAAAATCAAAACAACGGTTCATCTCCAGGACTTACATTTTAGACTCCAAGTCTGCAAGAGCGCAGGACCCAATCAAAGATTGATCGGGAAATGCTCGATAGTTCATCAGGCGCCTCAATGGAGCAATGTCAAAAACCATGGGCAGCTCTTCCTGCTGGGTCCCTGCTGGTGATTTTGCCAATGCTTTTGCGTGCTGGTCAAACGCTGTTTCTGGCGTTCGCAGAACCCACACTGGTTATATATTTTTGGGCCTTTCACGGCAATCAAGTTTTCTGCTGACATAAGCTTTTGCGAAGCTTTCGGGTTCACTGTCGTTTGCGCAGCCCTTCGCAAAGGCTGTGCAAACATTTTGCGGGAACTGAATTTCACTTCACGCGCGCATGGCAGGTAAGACTTTGTTTTCTTCTGCTTTCGCAAAGGTTTTGCAACTGCTCATTTGCATCTTCCCCTTCAGAGGGTTTTATGTCTTTTGCCCTTCCTAAAAGCATCGAAATTAGAGACTCGGAAATGGCAACAAGAAATGTGTGGTATCTCACCAGTGGACCTACTGGCATGTTCCCATCTATGTGTCCCGGAGGGTTTTGATCTGTTTTCCGCCTTTCCACAAAGCAACATAACAAACAACAGTGGCGCACAGAAAAACGTTGAACGCATACGATTCATGTGACAAGTGCAATTTCAGGAGGTTTCAGGGTCGGACTAAAATAGTCTATCCCTACAAGGAACTTTTTTTTTTAAACCATGTTGAACCTTCTGTGCTTTGTCGTAATTTTTCATTGCGGGCTAAACTCCCTGAGCCAGATAGGGATCAGGCTGAAAAAGTCTGATTTATTGGGGTTTCAAAGTTGCCTACCAGCGGCAACGATCAAAAACAGTGCGCAAACAAAGCAGGTGAAGCCTGAAGTTGTTAGGGAGGAAAACGACTTAAGACCCTAGGCGTCAGGAAGACCTGAAGGTCTATTGTGATCCATCGTTTTTAACGTTCGCCCTTGCACAAAACCACAGACCCCACTTTTAGGGTCTACACTGTAGTCTGCAACCCTACCAAGTAACTGATGCTATAATATATAATTATATATATATGTGTATATATATATATTGGAATACCGAGGGAATAAGCGCAAACCACGTTCCACGAATCGTGCCATGGAACACTTAATATAAGGTTTACTGGGAAATGTAATAGCCAGCAACCATCATTAGGTGTTTGGCAGGTTTTTTTTAGATTCATCATGTCAATAGATACCTGAAGGTAATAGTAAGATACTTAGTTTATAAATACTTAGCTGGTTGGTGGTTTGGACCATTTTTTATTTTCCATAATATATGGGATGTCATCCTTCCCATTGACGAACTCATATTTTTCCAGATGGTTGAAACCACCAACCAGATCATGTCATATCTGCTGGGAGCTGAGGGGATTCTATGAAAACACACATGAAAAAAAGAGGTGCGTCATGTAAACATGCAACATTTTGTGTTCAGGTAAAATCGGATAAAATAGGTAACATGTATTAAATTTCACCGTCTTTTTTCGGTGTGCTCCCCATTGTTTAGGCTTCCGATTTTGTGCCGAGGCCCCAAAGCCCGCACTGGATGTGTGGTGTGGTGGCCAAGAACTTCCCCGGATTTCACTTCATCCTCCACAATGCTTCCATTGCCACGTTTGGATCACTAGGCCCCATTAGTTTGGAACACTTCGTTGCAAGATAGGTTGCCACAAATCAGATAGCAGTCAGACATTGGAAATAATCCCCATATCTCATCTATCTAAACTGCTTAAACAATCTTAAACACAACATCTCAAAAAATAAAACACATCCCATCTGGTTGAATTTCCATGGTGAACATGTCCCTTTTGTTTTAAGCCAGTGGTTAAAACCATCCCCATATCTCATCCTTTCTGGCCCCCCAAATGGCCATTGAGCAATGGCCTCCGAATGAAGAACTCCACTACTAAAGCAGGGCTTCCAGGGCGGTATTTTTCCATATTTTCATATATGAGGAATGCATTTTCATATTAATATTAATATTAATATTAATATTAATATATATACTATATATATACTATATATATATACTATATATATAATAATAATATATTATATATAATATATATTATATGTGTATGTAAATATTCTATACATTCACTTAAAATCATATGAATGGGGCAAGGGATTATATCCATTCTATCCCCCAAAAATCCTCCATCCAGATCCATCCAGATCCAGGTCATCAGGTCCTCCCAGGGGGTTCTCCCTGGGTGGCGCAGGGCAAACCCAGCGCTATGGATGTGGGGATTTTATGGTGCTTCAATGGGATAGAAGATGGACTAATGGGTTCCCAGATAGATGGGATTCTAAGAGGAGTTTACCAACTAGGTGGATACCCTCTGGTAAACTAACATAGCTATGGAAAATCACAATTTTTAATGGGTAAATCAACTATAAATGGCCATTTTCAATAGCTATGTTAAATTACCAGAGGGTAATGATTATTTGTGATGATCCATTCACAGATATCATGGTTATCATGGTTTCTTGTTTTTTTTTGGGGGGGGAATATATGGAAACTAGCCTCTGGTAATTTGTTACAGTTGAATGTGGATAATGATTATCCGTGATGATCCATTCACAGATATGATTTCATTCTTGATGATTTTGCAGAAACGGATGAAATTGGGATGAAACTGTAAAACTGCTGATATTACCTCAATTTTCTGGTAATTGATGGCTATACGATGGGGATTTTAACAACCATATGGGGTAAAAAAAAACTTGTTGGAATTGAGAACAACAGCTGTAGACGATTTGTGGTGAGAAATGGGGGAAGTGACCTGACCCATTCTGGCCTATCATCAAGAGAGGAGGATATTATTTGACCGCTGCTCATGTGTTGATGTTGATTGGGTAAACCTTGCGGAGAGGTTGAGGGGTTGAGGGGTTGAGGGGTTGGGCCATTGATTCTTAAGGTTTCGCCACACATAGGGGAATATCAGCCAAGATTGGACATGTTGATTGATGAATCTGACTAAAAAAACTTCCTCGAACCCATTATTATACATGATAACCACCTGGCGGGAAAAATCATGTTGCCTTTGTATCTCCCATGTTTCCTCCTTGTATCTGGACTGTTGGGAGCAATCCATAGTATAACGATTCAATCTAGTTGTGACACCGGTACACCACTTGGCAACTGATGTTTTCACAACATGGGTACAACCTGTTACAACCATGGTTATATATATATATGTTATGTATCCACTTCGTAAAGTTGGAACTGCACTTCTGATATCATTTTGAGACAAAGCTATTGGTTTTCAGCTGGAACCTGAGAACTGGTTCGACTCAAGATGCCCGAAGTGAGTTGCTGAGTTGTTGAGGTCGAAATCGAAGAAATCACCAAGTTTCCCCATCATCAACCTACCAATTCACATCGAAACATCGCATTTCGGGCAGCGCTTTAACCAACATAGCCTGCGCTGTCCAGCCGAGCGCTGGGAAAATGAAACCGATGCCATGGAGCTTCACCGAAGAGTTCCTCCAGAGAAGTGGTGCGTCACCTACAAGGACGATGGCTGGCACTGTTCGATTGGTTAGACTACAAGGTGGTGCCCCCAAGATAGCGTTCAGTTGGTGCAAATAACTCCAATAACTATGGTTTATAGGTGATATATCTATAGTTAATGTGGGTTTATAACTCCAATTAAACTATGGTTTTTGTTGGTGATATATCGAACTAGTTAATGGGCTTATAAACCAACTTAGCTAACCTGGGGGGCACCAGCTTGTAGAATCTAGTTTTTTTTTTCCGGTGTTTGTGAAGCTCGCTATTCCTCCTTTCAGCGGTCCCACGATTTCTTGGTATCTCAAGGTAAGTCAGTGGAGGTTCACTGCACGACGAGTCGGGGAAAACTGGGAAACACTTAGTCAGTTAGTCTTTTTTTTTTAGTTACTCTTTTCTAGTTTTTTTTCTAGTTTTTTTAAATTTTGTTTTAATTTTTTCTAGTTTTCTCTAGCTTTTGGCTGCTGACACACCCGTACCAAGTAAAACTAGATTGGGCTAGAAAAGTCAGTGATGGGTGAAGCCCTTTCCAAGGCAGGGGTTCCGGTTAAATGTGGAGGAACAACCTCGGAAAACACAGGAATATCTTGGAAAAAGGGAACATGTCAATGCAGCTCAGTGCAGGGTGGGTCGGTGGACTTATTTCGTTTTCTTCAGTTGTCTGCTAGCTTTCTTTAGCCTAATCTGGTTTTTACTTCGATTTTGTTAGCTTCAACTAGCCGTTTTCTTTTTCTTTTATGATTTAGAGTGGACCTGATCAAAGCGGCCCTGTAGGGGATTCAATGAAATTATTTGTTATTGGGTATGCCAGTATGCCCCTATGACTGGGATGATGTAAAACGACCCACACATGGTTGTTTGATGGGGATGGTTTATTATTGGGTTTACCACATGAATATATTATATTATATAATATCATATTATATTGTTATTGTATTGTGTGTTATTGTTATATTATATTGTATTATATTGTGTTATATTATATTATATTAGATTATATTTTATTATATTATGTTAAATTACATTCTATTCTATTCTATTATATGATATGATTTTTATGATATTATATGATATTATATGACATTATATTATATTCATATTATATTATATGATATGATATCTTATGATATGACATGATATTATACTATATCATATTATATCATATCATATTATATTATACTGTGTATATATATATGTATATATATATATCATTCCAATTCCAATGCCCCAAGCTCGTTAGGATTTCTACAAGTTCGTTCACGAGATCAGAATGTTGTGGTGCAGAGGCCTCATTGATGAGCATGACCTGAATCCACACCACCACGACCCCAATTATGGGCCAAACCTCTACCAAGTCAACGAACAATATGTGAAGCTTGGGCGACCGGAACTCGATTTTGACGGGATTTGGATGGATTTGGGGATTTACCAGTGATGGATTTGGAGTAATGTACCGTTGGCACGGCATCGTTGGCATCGTTATTTTTGAGTGAAACTACCCGCCCCATGCAGTACTTGTGCATTTGTGGAGCCTCTCTTGAGACTTGTCCAGCTTCCGCCTTGAACTTGCCAGTCTTATGGTCTTATCGTTGATCTTCCTCAAAATCCTCAAAGTCCTCAAAGTCCTAGCTGAAAGAATTCGCTTCAGGAAAAACGACTTGAAAAACTATGGCGCCATTAATGGAAACCGCATCAACCATCATCAACCCCCCCAAGATCCCCCAAAAAAACGTTTTTTTTTCATGGCGGTTCAACCCAGGAAACCTGTGACCTTGAAAGCTGGTGGCATGAGCTACGCCCTGATGAAGCACCCTGAGGGGCTGCCCTGTGACGTCTTCATCTCACATGCCTGGGCTGAAGGTACCATGGACGACTGGGGAACCCCCATGACTTTAGACGCCCAAAGATGGAGTTATACACTTATACTATCCAATATATATATACATATATATATATTTGGAGGTTACCACAATCCATGAACTCGGAAATCCATTCTTAACCAGCCAGAAAAAAAGGGACAACAGAGACTTTTGAACACTGCTCGCGTTTTTTTTTTGTGGCATTTCCCTCTTTTTCATCCGTTTTCCAGTCTTTCTGTTTCCACCTTGTTGTTTTTGCTGGTGCGAAACATTGCACACCATTGATCCCGTGGATCCCGAGGCTTACCATCTGAGGATTTTTCACAGTTCGCCATGGAAAATCCACCCATTTTTAAGAACGGTAAACCATCTATAAATCTATGGGCCATCGAAAAACCATGGAAATCCCCCAAAATATCCATGGAGGTTTATAATTAGCTGGGAAAATCATCTATAAATCTATGGGCCATGGCTTCCATGGCGAACTGTTAGTCATAACCAGAGGCTTACCAGTTCTGGGAATTTCCGAGGTATCTTTGAGCTCGCAACACTGGTGGGACAGGGCTGGCCTCGAGGACATGGACTGAAAAACATGCCTTTAGGATGCACAGATCCATGGTTAAATGACGGTCTTTCCATAGAAAAATGGTGGTATAGAAATGCCATAATCAATGGTGAATTAATGGGCTTTCCATATCTATCTATATCTATATATATATATATCTATATCTATATCTATATCTATATATATCTATATCTATATCTATATCTATACAAATATATCTATACAAATATATCTATACAAATATATCTATACAAATATATCTATACAAATATATCTATACAAATATTCCTATACAAATGGGCTTTCCATAAATGGTACATATGCCATAGTCAATGGTTAATATTGATAGCCATAATCAATGGTTAATGTATGGTTAATCTATAGTTATTCTGTATGCCTTAAGGATTTAGTCATGGGGGTACCCCAATAGCTGGATGGTTTATTTCATGGAAAATTATAAATGGATGATTTGGGGGTACCCCTATTTTAGGAAACCACCATATGGGCTGACTGTGAGGAACTAGGAACTTCATGGAACTTCAATTTTCCATCAAAATTAACAGCTTGACCCTGACAATATATGAACCTATACTTTGTTTTTGTGTTTGGTATTTTGTTGTAAAAACTAATCTTCCACGCCACAATCCTTGGATCGATGAGAAAATTGATCAACATGGTTAATTTTGTTCGCACAAGTAGGACATGAAACTGCGAGCATGCAGATGTAATCCAGATATGATACTTCTTTGCAGTGCTACCACTTGGTTTCATAGGCGGTTTTGGCACTGTGGACCATGGTCCACAAAATTGTCATAATTAATTGCTCGCATATGGAATTGGGGGGTGGTTTATCATTGGGTTTACCTCATTACTCGTGTTTTTTAACCTTCAAACCCATCCACTTGTCGTGTGTACATAGTTTTGACCCAAAAAAAACATGGAAAGTCTGCTTAAAATCCTAGTTTCCATCAGCACTTGGTGTTGTTTTACTATTCACTAGCCACAGACCTTTTTAGGAGATCTATTCATCGGCTTCGGGTTCCGTCCCTTCCGTCCCTCTCGAGGAGCCCCCAAATGGTTTGCCAAGGTTAGAATGATCAAAGATGATCCAAATAGACATGCTCAAAACCCTAAACGCAGGGCCCTAGGTGATTTACCAGACAACGAAGCCTAAACCCTAAAACCCTGAAAACTCTGAATCCGAAAGCAGAAAGCACTGCGTATACGCAGTATTTTCTGCAATTTCTCTTCTCATGTTCGACGACAGGGAATCCTCAATGTTGCAGTCCGGGCAAACCACGGGGTCTGTGCATAACTATAGTACTCATATCTCATGGGGGTTATGAACCAGCAAACATCACCTGGGGACCGCACCTTGAAGACCTTTGTGGATCAGCCTGCACATAATGCCACATTTTTCGTGGATGATCATAGCCTACTTGGGGGTGCAGTTCCAGTTTTAATTGGATATATGTATAATATATATATATAAAATGGGCTAGCGCCCAGGTGCCGCCGACCCCCCTAATTGGAGGGGGGGTACTGTAGAGAGACAGAGGGAGACGGACAGCAAGACAGACATATGGCCGTTTGCTTCTCAAGCAGCGAGAAGTTGCACCCTGCGGCCAAATGGACACGGATCAGCTTGAACTCCGCCAGGTGCGCAAGGGTGAGGCAGTGGCTGTGTTGGCTACCTGACAGCTTGTTGATGATTAATCATTTTATGATGAGGGGTCATCAATGGTAATGATATATCCACATACAATAAGATATGGTCAAAGCAATCAACCTGGGGAGTACGATGTAGCACATGATCCCACATATATATATATATATACATAATATGTACATATATATATATATATATATGTATGCGTATGTTCCGGTGGCATGTTGGATTGGATTAATACGTGTTCCGCTGAAGGTCTAGTCGAGAATGTTAGGGATTATGTGAGTCAGTTGACGTGCATCCCAGGGAATTGGTGTTTTTTGGCGCCGTTGGGTTAGGATGAAGTGATTTTTAAGTTTGGAACAAACTATAACAAGTGGGCCATTCCTGATGGCTATGGTAAAGGACTGGAGGGTACCGACGTGTTTTGCAAAGTCGTGGTTTGGCTTTTGGACACGTGACACCCCATGGAAACTGTTGCTGTTTTCAATCGGAACGGATGAGATTCTTCCCTGGGATTGAAACGGACGGTGGAGAAACGACAGAATTTTTAAAGTGCTTGCCAATTGCGAAGCCAAGATGGGTCCTGCAGCACACTTGCTAGCGAACGAGACCTCATTGTCAAGTACAAGCAACGAACATGGGCAGGCAGATCACGGAGCGGTGTGAGGAAAAGAATTGGTCAGCATTGAGAGAGGAAAGTGTTATCACAAGACATCATCTTTGCTAGGTGGTATTATTGCCAACTTGGTCTATGCGGGCCGGAACATGGTGCGTGCTCGCGTGAATATCGTGGCCCGTGCTGAGCGGCTGGGGGACGAGGAGCTTAGCTCAACCCACCGGCCTGCGATGCGCCTGTTGGATATTTCCATGGGTCGCCACGGTCATGCAGCTAGATTGCATCGGAAGCGTGGATGATTTTTCGGGCCGAGATTGTGTTAGGGGTTTGGTGGTTTCTTTTTGTCTCGGATTTCTCTTTCTGAGTTTACCTTGCCGTAGTGTATTGTTCCCGGCTGTCCAGGTGAAGGTCGTTTAGATATTATCAGAGTTATGCTCTTTCTGTTCTCCTTGTCCCTCTCCTTCTCCTCCACCACCTTACATCCCGTTCCAGGTTCACTTCAGCCACTTCCATGTCCGCGTTCGCCCCGAAAGCTTTACCAAGCTCTTCGCCAAATTCCTCACTCAGTGGGCATTGCTGGACCTCAAGTGGAAGGTCTGAGCGCACCGCTGGACCTCAACCTGGCACCTTCCGAGTTCGGTGAGCACTGCGGGACGTCAACCGTGATTTTCGAAGCTTAGTGAGCATCGCTGGACCTCAACCTCTAGATAGAATGCTTGAAGATACGTTAGATCAAACTCGAGATAGCATGTCAGATAGGATGCCAGAAGATATGCGAGATAAAATGCCAGAAGTTGTGCCGGATAGAGTCCTGGAAGGTATGCCGGATAGGATGCCAGAAGATATGCTAGATAGAATGTCGGATAGATTGCCAGCCCGTCCACATAGCGTACCAGAAGGTATGCGGGGGAAAGTGGTAGAATTATTGCCAGATTGCATGCCAGAAGATATGCCAGATAGAGCCAGATAGATAGCATGTCAGATAGAATGTGAGAAGATATGCTAGAGAAAATGCCCGAAGATTTGCTAGATAGAATGCCAGAAGACATGCCAGAAAATATGCCAGATAGAATGCTAGAAAATATGCCAGACAGCATGCCAGAAGGTATGCCAGATAGAAGGTTAGATAGGATGCCAGAAGGTATGCCAGACGAAGTACAAGAGTATGCCGCATGCCTGATAGAATGCCAGATAGAATGCCAGGTAGGATGTGAGAAGATATGTGAGATTCCGTCAAAATTTGCGCTGATTAAATATGTATTGGGGTGTGCATCGGATGTTGGCTGTTGCATGAAACCTGCTAAAACGATAGGGGACTCACAAAAAAACGATACGTTTTTTGATTGCGCATTTTTGCGCGTTTTGTTGTGTGGGCATACTGTTTGCTTAGCCAGGGTTGTTTTTATCACGTTTGGATCTTTTTCACCATGAATGGTTATGCCCATGCGGTGGGTTGACTTTACATGACGTTACATTACTTTTGCCACCTAGGTGGGCTGCTTAAACTCGCACTGAGTAGCTCAGATGACGGAAATCATGCATCTATTCGCAGGCAGTGCAGGAGTGGCCAACTCCATGCAGTATCTGGTTATGTTGCCTGGCCTAGATTTGGTACACTGCGGCGAGCTATTCATTCAGTCTCGCACGCATGTGACTTGCAAAGATGGAGCTCGTACAGAACGATAGCCAAAACGATACCCAAACGATACCCAAGTTTTACCAAAAGCTCCCCGGGTGACAGACTGGGCACACAAAAGGCCGAACAGGTGGTGGATGTGAGTGCCAAAACCATGCCAAAGCATTACAATTTTGAGGTTAGCAGCTGTGAGTGGCGCCAAAGCATGCCGAAAGCCATTTTCTTTCCAAAAGACTTGCTGCCTGAAGAGACCGCCCAAGCAGCACGAAGGAGGACCAGACAGGCACGGGCAAAAGCACAAGTGCGCCCCAACAAGGATGAGGATCCAAGTGGTTGCGCTTCAAAACTATGCTTAAACAGAGGTTAAAAAATGTCAAAATATGTCAAAACAGGAAACCTTGTAAAACGATAGGGGACTCACTAACTTGATGACGCACTTCCGCTTAACAGTAAATTTCGACCGTGGCTCATGTCAGAAGATATGCCAGATAGCATGCCAGATAGCATGCCAGATACAATGCCAGAACATATGCCAGAAGATGTGCCAGGTAGAATGCCACTAGATATGCCAGATAGAAAGCCAGAACATTTGTGAGGTAGCATGCGAGAAGATTTGCCAGTAACCAAATGTATAATTGTCATCGTGGGGATCACATGAAGTAGCGTAAGTTTTGTGTGTTCTGCTCGTTTTCCGTGCAATGATCGCTGAGGGAGAGCGCGTTGTCAAAGAATGGTGGGAAGTGGCTGGGTTTGCTGTTGTGGCAGGACGGTGGCTTGGCGAAGATTACGATGTGAGAAGGAACGAGCATGCTTGAGAGTACTTCAGTGCAGTATGAATATGTTTGGCCTGGAGTGGCAAATTCCTTAGGATGTTTCTTGCTTTTTGAACATGAGCCAGAGGCTTGTCGCAGAGACGCTGTTAGCAAGACAGATGTCTTGGACCGGTGCAAGAGCTGCAGAGAAGACGTATCTGGAGTGCAACGAGGTGTGCTGAACACGTCAGGGATGAAAAAGATTGGACCAGGGATGAACACGTCACGGCAGGCAAGGACCAGGGCAGAAATTGGGGACGGGAGCAGAAAGGTCGGAATCAAAGGGTCGTACCGATAGGGATGCGAGTGAACTTGCAAGGGAACACGTGGCTGTGGGAGAGGGTGCCGGCCAAGCGACGCCAAACGCGAAGAAAAGAGCCAGGAGCCCAGGGGAGGACAGGCATTCGTGGGTTCCGGTGAAGTGCTTGCGTCAGAAGACGGCCGCTAGTGCGGCCACGATCACGTTGGACGATGCATGGTGCAGCGAAAACGTGGAAGGAGAAAATGTGTTTATCTTGCGGTGTGCCGCGGGTGGGTGCAAGGACGTGCGACAAGTGGCAGAAGGGCAGATCACAGCATTGAGCAAGAAGCTCAACGAAAAGCCAACGCTGCCGTTGCAGTACCAAAATGTATGTAGCCCCCGGGAAGCATATGACTTGCCGTTGACGCACTGCAGCTTCGCCGGCTGCAGGTATGCCTCGGAGAGCGAAGAGGAGTTGGCGGACCACATCCTCAGCAGCCACGCCGAAATATTTACACAAGTCTGCGGTACAGCGATAAAAGCACAGGACATGCTTGGCATGTATGCCGCAGCAATCACGTGGCGATGCCAATCGGCAGCTCCCGTGGCCAACGTATCCATTGACCGGCGCGCTTTGCGAGCTTATCAGAAAAGCTTAGAAGCTGACAATATTTCATGTTTGCTGTGCTTTGTGTGTGCTCGCAAATATCCGTATGTCAGAAGCAGCCGCAATCAAGAAGTGGGCTGGGTGCAGCCCGTTGACAGCAAAAACAAGACAATCTTTGGCCAATCGCTGGGAGTGGTGGAGGGAATTTTGGGGATGCAAGCTTTTCGAAAAAAGTATGTTGACAAAGAAACACAATTTGCGCGGCAAGAAATGACTGCAGAGTTAGAGTCTTGGGCTTGCCAGGTCGACTTTGGAGCTCCGTTGGTCCAGTTAGTGTGTTGCCCTGAAGACAAGATTTGCCAGAAACGGTGTCGGCCGGAAAAGTTGTGCTCGCAATGCTGGGTCCCTCTTTGCAGGAGTTGCAAAGTTG